TGCTCTGCTCTCAGGACCAGCCTGGACAACAGGGACACAGGAGCTGCAGGAAGGAGAGGCACTGATTTCAAGCAAGGCCAAGGCTCAAGAATAAGCAATGCCAAAAGGGTCACCGAAGGGCCCATCACCTAAACTCCACGACAGAATGAAACTACTTGAGTTGGAGTCCAAAGATGATTGTTACTCAATAGAACCAGGCAATGAGAAGCATTATGGAAAACCATCAAACAGCATCAGCTCAGGAGGTGAGACACAAAACACCAGTGCTGATTTAAAACAGCAGGAACAGGAGCAGCCAATATTAAAGCCACTGCCTTGGCCCTCAGTACCATGTCCCAGCATGCCAGGACACACACGTGGCAAAACAGCCAGCAAAATTATATGGTCTGAATATTCTCTTCACACCAGTTCATTACCCCTGGGTGTTCCTGGATCCCTCAGGCTGGCAGTCACACAGATACAAACTCAACACGTGAACTTTGGTTTCTCAAATCCCACAGTTGCTCACAAAACACAGCAAGCCTCTTGGCCAGCTGCTCTCCTCCCTGTGGGCTGGCAGCAGGAGCTGACACATCTGATTTTGGGTAGGAGACAGCCCAGGGCACTGGGATGCACAGGCAGGGGTAAGGAGAGCATGTCCACCCCCCCTGCAGCTCAGCCCCTGAGGAGCCTGGCAGGAAGGGGCACTGGGGCACGACAGCAGCTTGGGGACATCCCTGGCCCAGCGTCCCCGGGTGCCACTCCTGCAGAGCAGCTGGCTCATTCCCAATTCTGGATGCACTCCCAGCATTCCCACCCCACACGAGGGAGCCTCATCCTCTATCACCAGCCCCTGGGCACAAGTGACTTTGCTGCTGCTGTCAGGCAGGCACGAGATGAAACACGCAGATGAACTGTACAGCCCCTCCAGCATTCCTAGAAACACCACAGCAGCAGGGACGGGGCATTTTGGAGAGCTGCAGTGAACGCTGTTTATCTCTCCCTCCCACCTCATTCATCGCCACAGCTTGATTTATTTGCTGATTGTCAGGAGTGTGAGTAATTGGTTTCTTAGATACCCTGACAGGAAGCCAGAGGGCACCTTAAGTGAGGACAGAGACAGCAGGATCCATGACTCTGCAGAAGCAGCAGCACACTCAGTAACCTGCAGCACCCACTCCTCCCAAAGCACGAGTACATCACTTCCCCAAGGGAGTGGTGTGCAAGGCAAGAGGGAGCAGAGGCTGTGGAAAATGACAGGAGTGAGAGGCACAATCCACAGCAAAGGGGCTGCTGCAGCTCGTCATGCAGCTGCACTTCAGCAAAACCCTGAGGAAGAACCAGAGGGTACACAACCAGTCTTGTGTAACTTAAGGCCAAGATACCCTGGGACTGTGCCCACACCTCTGTGAAGAGCAGCCAGACCTGCAACTGCAGGGCTTTCCCTTGGCACACAGGAAGGTCATCAGCTCTCATTCATTCATTAGTGCCTTTGTCCACAAAAGAGGCATCTTTGAGGCTCTCAAATCCTAGACAGAATCCTGCTGGGGGGGAAAAAAAAGTGGGTCATCTTCATGACAGCTTTTGAAAAGAAAACCAATGCTCTATAGCTTTGTAAATATATATATATATATATATATATATTTAAATTAAATATGTAAGTTCTATATAATATAAATATATTTTACATATGCTTTAAAACCCAGGTGGCTTTAATTACTGAGCTATCCAAGGATTTACTGCCTCAGAGTCTTTATCTGCTGCATCTCGGTCAAACCTCATAAGGCTGCATCTGAAATCACACTGTGCTAAGAAAACAAATGATTAAAGCAGAGCTAGGGAGTCAGGGGATTAGTCTATTCTGCACGGCCTTGAGCAAGTAATTTTTAGCTCTGAGGCTCTAATCTTATAGTGAGCCTGGGGCAGAAGAAACACTCATACACCCACACAAACCACACTTAGTTTTTTTCTCATCTGAAAAACAGAGATGACAACACATAACTCTCTGAGAAGCATCTTAATCACTAATCTACACTAAATTCTTGGAAATGTGAAGTATTACAATGGTTAAGTACCAAGCCAAATTAACATTTTGCAATGCTATCAGAGTCAATAAGGTAGAATGACAACACAAGCACCCATTGTATTCAGCTCACAATCATCACTGGAAAAATCCAACTCTAGGAAGCTCTAATAGTCTCTTCCCCCCCTAACAACCAGCTGTAACTACAAATAGAATACAAAAGATGAGTGACTAAATGAATTAGTCCTGAACTGCATCCTCTATCTTGTTAAATGCAGGAAGCCCACACAGAGCAGTTTCAAAGGGACTAATGAAGGAGAAAAGCAAGCTCCAGGATCTGAGTCCTTGAACTGCCCAGCTTTCAGACAAAAGGTACCAGTTCTCTTGCAAATAAAGGAGCAAGTCTTGCACCTGCCATGATTTAGAAAATACCCTTTAAAATGCAAGACCTGTCCTTCATTAGAGCCATGACAACCTCACTGTCCAAGGAGTACTATTCACTCTGTATTCAGCATGAGAGTTTGTTGCCTGCCTGCTTTAACAGCAGATGCAGGTCTGGGTTAGATTTACTAGCAGTTGCCACTTTGTGTACTAGTTTTCCACTTCCATGCATGTATACAGTGTATCTCATAACAACACAAGTGTGATTTGCATCAGACAGCTGCATTGCATGTCTCTGCATTTTCCTGATTTATAATGTCCTAGAAATTTAGAAGTGGGTTCTCAGCACCCTCTTGTGGAGCTGTGCTGTGGTAACCACCACACCTTAGTAAATTTTAATTGCAATTCAGAACTACAGAACAGTTACTTCTGCAGTAAAGCCAAAACTGGGAAGTTAAATGTGAATGGCAACACCTGGTAGTTTATTATGACTTTTAACACCTGACTAAAACCTGTGTTTCAAAAAGCTGCCCAGCTATACACTGGCTCTACTGCAATATCTGAACTGTAATACTGTTAGTTCAGTGCTGGCAGAAGGTCCTGTTTCTATTAGAATGTGCATCTGTGCCTGCAGGCCTAGTCAGGATCAAAACCATTGTCATTTAGGAAAAAAAATTGCCTGTGCTGGCAGCACCAAATAAATTCCTTCCAAGAGAAAATAGAATTCTTGCTCTGCTTATTAAGATGCGCACAGCCAGCAGCTCTTCCAACTCAGAACATCACTGCAATGCTTCTGTCAGGTCTGGGAACAAATGGGAGGCTGACTGCTGCTCCTGGGCAATGTGTTTGTTTGATAAAGTGGCTTTCCTCCCCCAGGTGTGTGCCTGCAGTAAAATGCCCCATGGAAGAGGACAGAGATAGAAACAGTCTCTTATTTTGTTCTTGCACACATAAGTAAGAAATTGTCCCTCTGTAAGCAGCTGTTTTCCACACTATTAACAGATCACATCAAGTTTTTAAGCCCAGCCTGAAGAATTCACACAAGTCAAGAATGACTGTCACATACAATAAATAGTCCTAATTACACACACTTGTGCTAAGTCCTCAACTTAACAGCTCCCAGCAATTTTAACAATTTTAATTTTAAATCCTTAAAGCACTTGCAGTGGCTGTCTAAATGCACAAGCCAGACCAGCAAGCATTAGTGGTGTTGGTATCACAGTGAAGTAGAACACGCACAAGGTTTCTCGAGCATATCCATCAGATTTTGCTCTTCTAAGGAACTCACAGGCGCTGAAATATGCTCAGCATTCCATCCTTCCAGTGCTAGGGTTTTTTTTTTTTTGGATAGCAGCAATGTAATTTCTGCTCCAGGTGTACTGAAATTTAAGATGTTCTTCCTCATATGCACACAGCACACAGCTCAGCCCTGGGAACACAGTTCTGCAGGTGGCTGCTACTGCATCCAGCCTCTGCCCTTCCCTTTCACTGCACCCACCCCTGAGAACCTCTACAATCCCAGGTCTCATAACACAAAAAGGGTTTAGCAAGGATGCCCCTCAGTCACCACCCCTAATATCCACTGCAGAGATCAGGTGATAACCAGGTAATAACACTGATAACAAAATACAAATTCCCATCAGTGTGGATTTCTTCCCTTTGGCTTTTGAACAAATTTATGCTTTATTTTTTCTTAGGAAGTACAACTCAGGCACATCCACACACAGTTATCTTTTAGAAAGTTAATACTGCACAATAAAATACTGTGAATTTGGTTGTGTTTTTTTCTATCTTATTTTTTCAAACATATAAATTCTAACCTATTGCTATTAGTTTTGTGTTACTGATGGAACACTGTACTCTTTTGCTGGATCCAGAATGACTTGTGAAGTTAAATGCCCCTTCAGAAGCTATTCCTACTGCAGAGCAAGAACAGCAGCTCATGCTTTCTGTGTCAGGCCAGACACAGGAGTTACAGGGCACAGTCAGAAGAGCAGCTGTACAATGCCAGCCTTTTTCAGCCATGCACAACTGTGCCTGTGCCTTTTAAAAAAAAAAAACATAAAGGGCCAAGCCTCTATTTTAAAGGCTTGGCCATATTACTGTTCCCTTTAAAACTCTATTGTGTACAACACATAACAGATTTGCTACCATACTTTCTGTGGGCTAGGCACAGTGTATCAAAACTAAAACAATTGTTTCATGATCAGCACCCTACACATTCCAGAAAAGTATGAAAGCGATGAAAAGTCTGAAAAGACTAATGTTAAGCATCTTAAAAGTGCAGTTTTGAAAAGTGAAATTCACAGACCTCATCAGCAGCTGCAGGGTTTCTGTTCATTAGGAAAATGGATCTAAAAATTTGGGAATATTGCAGATGGCTTGTGGGTCATAAATATGATCACAGCATTAGGGAAAAAAAAAAGGAAGAATTTTTACTCACAAGAATGATGTATCATGGTGACTAGCAAAGCAGAGTAGGGGAGGCTCCTGCTGCCAACGAGGATCTTTATGATATTCCTTTCACTTTGCTAAAGCTGCTGCTCAGAGAAATAGGAGTAGCTTTGGTAACTGTCATCCCTGTGGATGGCTGACATAATTTGGGACTGGCAGGACATTGATTTTCTATCAAAACTTTAATAGGTCGCACATACAAAACAGATACACCAATTGATTCTTCATCTAAAGCAGAACTCATTTCATACAATGCCACTGCAGCCAATGTGATCTGGAGAGCAACTAAGAAAACCTCAGTAGTGGACATGTGCTACTGCAGAGCACCTCACAACTTAGCCAAACTGGCAGGTTTTATTTACACCTCTGATGGAATGAGTCATCCTCAATCATATATTGAATATTACATATCTCAGAAAGATTTGCTTTTTGCCCACAACTCTTTTTTTTTGTTTCTGGTCAGACTACCATCGGTTTGTCACGTCCAATAATTTGAATATATACTTCCTAAATTCCAGTCACAGCTTTCCAGATGTTGGTCACATTTTGGCAAAGGACTCTTCAGAAATGCAGCATCTCAGATCATCAGCTGCAGCAGAACATCAGTGCACCACCGTTTAATTCCCTGGCCATTTCAGCTTAGAACCAGCCACAACTCAGACAAGTCTGAGAGCAGCTAAGCTGTTTCTTTCTCCCTATTAAATGTACTAATATACATATATGGCTTGAGTTGGGATTTCTTTTTGTGCAGTCTGGAGATTATCTCATTTTACAGTGACAAGAGCACAGCCTAGAAATAGATGTGTTTAACTCACTTTTCTCTAATGTCAGTGTACAGCCTGGTGTCCTCATCCAGTGATATGCCATGCAATAACCAGCTGCTACTGTCAAATCAACTGTTTTGTACCTCCTTAACACTATGTAAAACCCTGAAAAAGATGATAAAAAGCATATGTGTATATATGTATATAAACCCTGACAAGAATACCTGCCCCTAAGAAATAGTTCCTCTCCACCTCACTAACTGTATTTTGAAAACAAACCCAAAAAGATTAGAAGTATGTTAAAGAAAAGTTTGCTCTCTGAACACAATGAAAGAAACCCTCTGCTGTACAAAAAAGGGGAAATACTGTATGTTTATTATAATTTAGGAATATGAGCAGGAGGAAGTATTTTATAATAGCTGAAAATCCATGGCAATCTCTCCTGTCTTTGTGTCAAAATTTATAGCATATGTGACAGCAGTAGGGTCTGACAAAATTTCTGATTCAATAACAGGGCTGAAGAAATAAACAGCTTGCTTGCAGTGGGGATTCCATTCACAGTTTCCCTACAGGAGAGAGTTAAAAGTGAAAGAAGTCAAAATCTACAATATTATTATTATTATTATTATACAGTAACAGTGCAGTAAGAGTTCTTGTTCTCAGCTGAGATCAGTGATCAACAGTTATCATTTATACTGCCATCCACTCCACTATGGAACACATAACTTGAAATACGATCTGCTACACCACACACTGAAGTCACTGACTTAAAAATGGATTTGGTCAAAGAATACTGAGATAGAGTACTAAAAATATTTACTCCTTCCCCTCCAAATTTTTGCTTTTGTTAAACTGAGGTTATTTGTATGAAAAATTCTGCTTTGATCTAGCATCCCATTTAAATTCTGAATTTGATTCCAAACTAGGGAGTATTTGGATGCAAATCAGACTCTCCCATTTTAAGGTACATCCCCTGCTCCCCACAAAAGTATTAACACATATTTTTAATAATTCTGATGACACAGTGCTCAAACAGCATGAGAAGGGGTACTACACAACCCAAGCATGGCAAGCATAGACCCTCTGCAATCCTACAGACTTTGACATAATGAATTAAAATGAAGATATACCTTTTCATTGGACAGTTGCATCAGTCCTGTACTAACAGAGATATCAGCAGTAAGATGATATTCCATCCACAGAACTGCTCCGTGGCTCTTGCCTTTCCTGGGGAGAGATGCAGGATAAAACCTGTCACAATCCTGGCAGCTTAAACACTGCACTAGTGTTTAAGTGAGAGCTGCAAAAGCATGAACAACTTCCTTCCTTGAAAGAAAGCTGAACAGCTGACTGAGTTGGTAGTTGGGGGCAGAAACTTTAAAGTATTTGCAGATATGAAATCCAAAAAAAGGCAAGGAAGAGCACATGTCATAACTACATCTGCTCAGCAGCACAGCCCCTTAACCAGCACTGAACAACATGGCATGAATTACACAGCATACACTGAGAACTTCCTTTAGAGACCCCAGTTTCTACTGACTCTGAATTCAGAGGAAATATTTACCACTCACACTGTGTCACTTCAAGTGCCTTGCTCCACAAGAAGCAGAGGTCATGCCACTGTGCTGCCTGTAAACACAACTGCTGCAAAGGCACAGAGACCCCACACAGATGGCTCTGCAGTCTATGAAAGCTTGAATTTTGTTTAATGAGAAACACAGCAGTGTTTGAGCTACGTAAGCTCTAGATAGCTAAAAATTAAAACTTTCTTGTTTTTAAATACTTAACAGCATTTCAAGTTTGAACAGAATTAAGTACAACCCACAGTTATAGTGGAAAGTATCTCAGATGTGGCAAAATACAAAGACTGCCAGGATTATAGTTAGAAGGAAGAATAGCATATACATTAAAAGCTATTAACATATATACAACAATTATATGCTACTAGCATATAATTTTAAAGCTATTAAACTTAATAAGTTATTCATTATGAAACACAATAAATTTGACAAGCTAAGTAGAAGCTTTTTCTGCAAGAACTCAGCAGTAAGCAACAAACAGAAACACTAAAAAACATCCAGGTGATATTTTGTTTTCTCTAAACTATAAATTAATCTATTTAAATTTTAAATAATGGTGAAAGCAATTAAAATGTTATTTTTTAAACAGAGGCATATTATCTAATCTAATACTATCAAACATTATTGTAATATTGTTATAGCCTACTGTGAATACCCACAGGAAGCTTGTGTCAGAGCAACTTCCACAATAATCTTAGGTCACATTATTAAAAACTGCCAAGTACATTTGCACTAGTTAAGTGTAACACACTTAAAGGAGATCTAAACTCAACTCCTCTAAAGAGCTTGACTGGGAGGTAAAGAAATGGATGATGACAAGAATATTTATTGCAGTGAGAAAACTGACCTTAAGAGCTTCACAGAGCCCTCTGTGCTGAGACAGTGCTGTGGCACAGTCTTTGTGAAGTCAAACGTCAAAACTTCCTGGGGCTCTGAGAGTGACTTGCAGGGATATTCCCACAGCGGGTGAGGTTCTGCTTCCTTGGATTCCCTAAAATTCAGAGAATCCTGAAAAAAGGAAGGAATAAAATTAACTGAAAACAACAGAAATGCAAGCCCAGAGTATTCAAGCAATAAAGCTGCAAGAGGGCAGGACTGCACTTAGTCACAAGGGAGAAAATGTCCTTCATGCATTAAACCAAATACTGTGAACTGGGGCCCTCAGCCCTGAAACAGAAATGGGCGCTTTCAAAATGCAATGCATTGAAATTTTCTTTTCCCTCAACATGAATTCCACTCTACAACTGCCTGTACTCCTCCAAATTAATCTAGAGCAAAGCTCTAGAAACTGATACAAATGAATCTCAAACAATGGTGTTCTGCCTAATACACAAGTTTTTCAACAGTCACTAAATGCTTTATTAAGCCAAACTGAATTTCTATTTTGCTAAGACTTGTGGTGAAACTAATTTTCTTACTTTAATCATATCATCCATAGTCTGGACATCAAAACCTTCACAGATGCCACATGGACTCCGGATTCTCCATAAGTCCTGTAAGAAACAACAGCATTTTGTTTGGCTTTATCAAAGGAAATGGGAATTCTTGCAATAATTTTAGCTGTAGCTTAGACATTCAATAGCAAGCCACATACTATGTATATATTGGTAAACCATTACAACTACTGCAAGAATCAGAAGATAATTCTAGGAAAAGGTTTTTTAAAGTCAGTTAATTATTTAATCCCTATTTTCAACTCCTCTAAAGAACATTTCTTACAATTTCTGCGTGTAGTTTACTTTAGAGCAGCTATGGATTTGCCAAGATCTAACCCTCACAGCCCCTCCACTTTCACTATCCAGCACAGCTAAGTGCTCCCAGTAGTATCAAACATCTCACAGCCTACCAGAGAAACACACTTCCCTTTACCACAAAGTGGAGTGAGATCATTTTAGCCACTTCATACAATGCCTCTCACTGACTCAGTTCAACATTTGCCTTTTCTTAGACCTCATTAATGGTCTCATGCCTCTCACTGACTTTAGCAACCCACTGGACAGACTGACTCAGTTCAACATTTGCCTTTTCTTAGACCTCATTAATGGTCTCTTACTAGAACACTAACATTAATTAGCTGTGGATACATTTTATTACCTGTCCATTGCCACACTTAATCTCAAATGTTTCTGCTCAAATGGCAGCAGGACCACTCCACATTTAAACAAATACTGCTACAATTTGACTACAACAAGTTCATGACTACAGCATGAAGTAGAGTGAGGCTCTGGACCAAAACAGACAGGCAGCATCCTGCTCCCTAAATGCAATTATGGATGAAACAAGTTTCCTAACTTCATAACAAGTAATTCCATCAATTTTTTTCTCCTGGATCCAGGTTCTGCTAATTGCTTAACCATGATGACATATCCATTCTGAGAGGACAGAACAGCCTACAGAACAGGTTCTGCAGGAGACCTTGCAACACGGTGTCTGCTCCCTCAGTCAAAACAAGAACTGGTAAATGCAGAGGTTATTTTTAAAATCCCACAGATTCCAATCTTTGACTCTAGATTCACCACTGAAAGAAGATAATGTAAAATTAAAGCAATAGCTTCAGGGTAGCCTACTGGAACAAAAGAAAAGTTAAATGTTCTACCAAAAATTTTATGTGGAATGATCTCTGAACAAACCCTGTACATGAAAATGTATAACTGAGGCTTAGATGACATGAATGTTACTCCACATTCTGCTGACTGCTGAATAATCTTCAGTCATCACTCTGCATGCTTTGGTTTCCTCACCCAGAACATGAAGAGAATAATGCTTACTTACTTAGAAAATGCTGTGAGCTCTAGGGAAGTAAATCCTCTAGATAAGAAAGCATGGAATGAAAATTCACTACTTATTTCAATCTGATTACTGCTGATTACTGTAAATACCTGCTCCCTATTAAGGATTCAGATTTACATTATTTATTCAGTATATAGTTAAACTCTGTACACTTTTGCAGAGAACTAAAAAAAAGGTCCACCACAGTTGATTTGCCCCAGAGGGGAGAAAGAACAAACCCATTCTCACATGCACAAATCAAAGGCAGAAGTAAGAGAATAAGTTTAAAGAGAATTCAAATAAAGAAACTGCTAAGGGAGAGAAGGCTCAGGCACAAAAACTACAGAGCTGGTGAGCCAGAGGGGAGAAATAACACAAAAAAGACCTGGCATTTTTAACAGATAAACTGAAGGCTGTGTTTATGTGAAAATTCATTAGATTATAGGTGTTTTTATTTGGAGTAGGTACATTTATTTACACAATGCCAGATTACAGAGTTCCCTGACTTAAGCTACTGGACTTTGCATATTAATGATGAAAGTACTTAATTTCCATCTTCATGGCAGGTAAACAGTTTGTTACAAAGTTCTCAATAAATGAAAAAAACTACGTTTATAACTTTGTAAAATATCTGAAAGACGACTTTTCAAAGTATTTTTAAGATGGGCTCATATTCAGAACTGTGCACAGCCTCAGGCAGTTAAAAAAACCCATATGCAATTGGGAATCCTGCCTACAGTCTTATAAAGCCTCACTTCAAAACCTGTTATGTTGCAGAATATCTACTTTATACACATATTTATATATAATATACATAATAAAATAACTAATTTTATAAATAACCACAACTGTCACATACTTCACTAATCCCTAATCTAAACATGCAGCCCTTTTATTTTAAATGGCAAAATTACTTGAGTTAATTTGCTGACAAGGGATGGCTGAAGTAGCAAAATTCACCCTTCAAGATATCAAATATTCTTTTCTCAGGTGGTAAGTACAGAACATACTAGTCAGTATTAAGATGCAGTAAGTTGTAGAGTACTCAGTTTTAATGGATTTGTGTAAATATCTGAACAGTCTCACCTGGAACTCCACAATCATCATGTGCAAAGAAGCAGACTGAGGGAGGACAGTGACACTGCTGGCAAGGTGAGTGCTCACAGCTGTCCTGGCATACCAGAAATACAGGTTATGCCACGGCAACAAACTCGTTGTGAAAAACGGCTCTCCCACAAGGACAGAAATCTTGGCAAAGGAGGGAAGAGATAAAAAGCATTATAATAAAAAACAACAACTCACAACACAGGCTGTTTAGATCTTCCAATAGCTGCCAGTGCAATATACTAAGTGAAATCATCTAGATTGCTCCACAGGGATTTAATTACTGTACACTGCACGTACAGCACACTGGACATTGCTCTGTGGCTTTAGCTACATTTTAAATTGAATTTTCCTGCAACAAAGTTTGTGAGAAAATACTGAGTTTGAGTTTGGAAGGCTTTGTAATGAGTCCCAGAATTTTGAAGTTTTGAAGTATGTTATTACTTCCAAATAGACTGCAATCTTTTTGAGTGGCCTGTGAAAGAGTTACAGCCTTGTAGAACCAGTTAAACTGCCTTAACTACTGGGGCAATTATGCAGCAGGGAAAGTCAGACCCTTCAAAAACAAAGCAACAACCCTCCCATATTCTTCAGTCTCCTTTAGTTTTAGTGACACATGGTGTGAACCATTTTAATTTTAGATCAATTGGGATATAACAGAATTCATTGTGGTTACAATTCATTTTTACCTTCTGCTCCCTATCAACCCCTGAAATTCAGTATAATGGACAACTGTAACACACCTTTTTATCCTCCAAATGAGAAGGCTTCAGCAACTCAGGACGAGCTTCTATTATTTTAATTTTATCTTCAAGATGATTTGCTTTAAAAAACTAAAATCAAAAAGTAACACACTGTCTTTATGAAAAGCGACAGTTGAGACCAAAATAACAATTTTATTGAAAATAAATTAGAAAAAGTCCCAGTTTAATGAAACTGCCTGCCATAACTCATAAGGATGATACAAGTCTATTCTTGAAGGCTGCATGCACCTAGAGCCAACATGTCACCTCCAGGGAACTAAAGCATGTGCCCTTAGCTACCTAAAAAGGCAGATAACACAAAAGTTGCCTCACCTTCATTCATTTGTACTTTGAAGCATATGAGAAGGATATACAGATCTCTTCCAAATACCCAGTGCCAACTAAAGGAGCCACAGCCCAGGGATGACTCCAGGGAGCTGCTTCCAGTCACCCCTCAGGCACCAGCTGCCTGTCCTGCACTGGCAGAGCCTTTGTGCCCTTCCCCAAGGCAGAGCAAACAGCAGAGCAGGCATTCCCACCTGTCCCAGCTGGGAGACAGAACTGATGGATGCTGCTTGCCAGGTGAGACTGGTGAAGCTTTGGGATGCTCTCACTAATCCTCAGAAACAAATGGCCTGGCTTTCATCACCAAGGCAATGGCAGCAGCAGAGCAGCAGCTCAAGCAGACAAGCCAAGAGGCCTCTGCAAAGGAGAGAACCAGCTTTAACAGAACATGGAATACTCACTTTTTCCATGACAGAACAGGACACACCAGAGTTTTCTAAAGTAAACACCTAATGAAAATACACAGTTAGTCAAACTAGCTTTTTAGTTTTTAATTAAAATCATATGTAACTGAAGAATGAAGCAATATTTTGATGCCCTAGCGAGCACAGTTCATAAGAACCATGCATATATTCCCACTATAATGAAGTTTTTTAACAACAAAACACCCCCCAAAAGTACAGGTTAAATACTTCTGTTTTCACAGCTATACAAGAAAAAAAACCAAAAAAATCCCCAACAGAATGCCAATACTTATTTTTCATTTTTATGTTGCACACAGCATATTAACATTTGTCCTAAGCACATATTTACTCATGAACAAATAAAAGCATATCACCAGTGTGCCAGACTGTAAATACTGCTTAATATGACCTGACTGTATCAGCTGGAAAGTGCTTAGAAACCTTTTGCAGTAAGAAAAAACATTAGTTTTTATCCAAAATTGATGAATTGTTAGGCAATACGCTACATTCCTCAGGATTATATTACATTACACATTCCCAGATACTCAGTTCAACTCTAAGAGATCTTAGTTTAAAGAGCCCCCCATCAAGTAGGGCATTTATGTGTGTGAGACAGCCAGGCAGCTCTCAGTTACACACAGACCCAGCTCTCTTACTGCATTAGTTTTTATCCAAAATTGATGAATTGTTAGGCAATACGCTACATTCCTCAGGATTATATTACATTACACATTCCCAGATATTCAGTTCAACTCTAAGAGATTTTAGTTTAAAGAGCCCCCCATCAAGCAGGGCATTTATGTGTGTGAGACAGCAGGCAGCTCTCAGTTACACACAGACCCAGCTCTCTTACTGCTTCCTACTCGGCTCTTACAGATCTTCCGCTCCAGACTAGGTAATAAATGGAATTATGAAATTGCAAACATAAAAGAAAATACCCTCCCACATATTTAGGTCCATAGAGTGTTTTCAGAAAAAAAAAAAAAACCCCAAAAAAAAAAAAAAACACCAAGATAAAAGATGGCAAACAGGAAGCAATGGGGAATGAGGAACTGCACTTTCCCTCAAAACTACACATTGGTAAATGTCCAATCTGGTAATTATTATCTTCCTAGACTTCAGCTTGACCAGAGATGAATTTAAGCTCCCCTTCAATACAATGTGAGCCTGCTCCTCACTTGTCCCTGAAGAGGCACTGCAAATAGTTAAATAATGAGCTAAAATGCAACGATCTGAAAAACAGGACAAAGTACTGTACCTGCTTTGCTCCAAGATAATGAGCCAGCACAGGCGGAAATGAACTACATGAGAGAAAAATACCAAGCTAAAATGCAAGGATCTGAAAAACAGGACAAAATACTGTACCTGCTTTGCTCCAAGATAATGAGCCAGCACAGGCAGCAGACTGCCATCACTGATACAAAGGCAAACACTATCTGTTTTCAGAACCTACAGAAAACAAATAGTCATTGTTATTCTTTTTCCAGATGGAAAAGTTTTCATATCGAATAACTGTAAAAAAATTCTCATGTAATGCCCTTGGCTTTAGGTCTGAAAAAGTTTGCTCAAAAATGTAATGGATGTCTTTATTCAGCTACCAATATTATGTCTAACAAACACACAGAGCTACTACAAATTATATGCAAAAATGGCTGCTTACCATTTAAAAATTTAATACTAAAGTTTTCAAGACAAAACTATAACTTCCATCTGCTGACGGAAGAAAAATACACTTTGTGAGCAAAGTCCTTTGCAGGGGACAAACAAATTCCGTAAATAATTACAATTCCATAAATAAACCAGGATGTGCATCCCTCAGAGAGGGCAATAAAACCTGCAGGCAGCAGCACTCACTTTCCTCAAGGCCTTGATGTACTGGCATGTTCGGTTCTGATCATTCAGCTCCCCAAAGCGGGGCCTGTTCCAAAGCAGATGGGCACGACACCTACAGACAGGACTCTCCACACAGGCATCTGCTGTATGCTCCTCTTCATCTGCTCTATTCTGCCCTTCTCTGGAAGAAATTTCAATGTAGTATCAACCACAGCATCAGTAAGATGTCTTTGCAAGCAGGCACATTGATACATTTTGGCTGATATGCACAGTAATGAATACGAACTCTGCTGTCACTTTTTCAAAGTTACTGGTTCTCCAGAGACATTTTTGCAACTCTGCATTTCCAAATGAAGAGAGGTCAAAAAGAGTTTTCACCTTCCTTAAAAGATAAAACCAAGAACCATCCCCCACTTTACCACTAACTGTGATGGTTAGGTACTTTAGGCTTTGCCCTTTCAGCAAACAGTCACTTGTTTGGATTTTGGATTCCTAAGTAAAAAAGGCACAGCAGATTCAGACATTTTAAAGCTAGCACTGGCTTTAAAAATGTTTGCTGCTATTGTCATTACAACCAACATGATTAAGCTCTTTTTAATCTCAGTAAAAGGCAGTAATCTCAAAAAGACAGTGCCAACTAGGAAAATAGAAAATGGAATGGCAATTTTTTCACTTTATCTGATGTCACTTCACCTGTGCTGTATTTTAGGATTTCCAGGAATCAACCATGACTGTTTTATGCTTCTTTGTCAGAGAATGCAACCAGGTACAAGGCAGAAGCTTGCAGTCCAACTGAGTTTTTATGCATAACGTGTATTTTCCACCTGTGCATTGCCCATGAAGCAGCCTTTAACATTTTTCTACTTTAGGTTTTAATCTTGCTCTTATACAAAGGGAGATGCTCTAAGAGCAGCAAATACTCCAGATTGGAGTAAGGGAGCAGCCTTTTCCACACACAGATTGTTACCTGGCTTTCTGCAGGTTGTACCACACAGAGTACTCGTCACGACAGGCAGTCAGGTACAACTTCTCACCCTGCAGAACTGGCTCCTCACGTGGAAGAAAATAAACACACTGCATCCAGTGATCCCTCCACTGAAAAGGGTTAATACACAAAACCTCAGGAACTCATTCATAAATAGCAAATGGAAAGTAAACAAATAGTAGGAGATCAATTAGGAAGAATGGGCATAATTTTGAAAATGCATTATTAATCTAAAGAACCTTGTTCAATTTAGCAAGGCTGAATAAAGACCAATATCATATATAGAATAGTATTGATTTCTGGAAACAGAATAAGCCTGAGACCATTGGCTTGCTCACTGGCCAAGCTTCTATTGCAACCAAATGAAAAACAACCCAAAATTGCTTTGCATTTATTAATGCTGTTTACCCTCCACAATTAACTTGTGTTAGAAACCTGTATCAAACTTCTGACAGCCTCATGTACCCAGAATTATGCCACTTAGTGTCACTCTGATCACAGCACAAGTACTTTGTGTTTCAAAAAGCTGGGTTTTGCACTGTGAATATCCTATTCTGATCAGTCACTCTAAACTGACTCCAATTCAGTAATTTCAAATTTTATTCTCAAACATGCTACAATCATTTTGTAACTTCCTTTTGACTAAGTTCATCCTACTGGTAAATTCATTCACAAAAAACCACAGGAATCTGACTTAATAGTGATAGTATTTCTGTAATTATCTGTGTCAATCCAGCACTTTCCTACTCCAGCCTCTTTTTTTATGAGTAAAAGTATACTACCATGAACACAACACTTGGAAATTTAACAGAAGAACTACAAGGAAGCAAACCACAGACTAACGTTTAAGCAGGGATAGGGACTATTTAAGGAAACAGATATGGAAATGTTTACTTCTTGAATGTAAAAGAAATAACAATATCTGGAAGGACAGCTTCAGTCCTTAAGCTTTACATAAAAGATGACCCTTAATGTTTAACATTCAAGAAAACCTAAAACGGGCATATACCATAGCTAAAATTTCTACAGTTTGCTTATTTAGCATATTCTAATACACTAAATATTAACAAAGTTCCTAAGCAATTTAAGGCAGAGCTGCTTAAACCCCCCAGTACAACAAAGAGTTGCTCAGTCATCTGACAATGTTATCTGAAGGCTCAGTATTTTACCTGCAAAGCAGAAGTGGGTTTCACCCAGTAGGGAGCCATTGTGCAATTTATCATCCCAGAGGGGTCCATGTCAATATCCCACCAGGAAAGTACAATTTGTGCCTTGCCAGATTTCACAGGCTCCAGCTGCACTTTATAGTAAGTAGAAGCACTCTGTACTGGCTTACTGAAATCCACACTGCAGGGAAGCATGAAAATTGTAAAAAGAAATATTACAAAGGAAATTGTAAAAAGAATTCTTCAGAAATTCTCACCACTTTCTTAAACTCAGTACACAGCTTACATGAAAGGCATAACAGGATAACTTTGTTTTGAACAAAGCAATGTCTTCCTTACCTGAACATTTTCACCACATCACTAAGGGTACTGAAGTCATTTGAAGGCATCTGGTTCAGCTGGATATCACAAACAGAAGGAAGACCTGGACAGTTCTCCATTTCTGAAGGTGGAACAAGTATTTTTTCACCATCCTCTGCTTCAACATGAACAGGAAACAGTTTCTTCCAGGACCACATTCTTCTAGATTCCACTAACTGGACATACACTGTTGCCCTGTGAGGCACTGCCTCACATCCCTCCTGTTCAAAACAAAGAGTAAACATATTCAAGTTTCACTTATAAGTGAGAATTAAATAAATTGAAATGCAAACCCATTTAAAGAAAAGTTGGACTGAGAGCTTCGAAATCTAAGATACAAATTATTTTAGAGACTTTTGTAACATCAGAGCAATTTGTCTCTCTGTGAAATAGAATACACGTAGCTATCCTGTTCAGTGTAGTTCAGCAAGGCCAGATTACTTCATTAACCATGCAGCATTATCAGTTTACTAGCCTCGATTAAATTTGCATTTCCATTCTTGTTCTGAAATATGAGATCTAGTCTGACCTTCTCAGGGCAGAAAACAACTAAGCTATCAAAAATATAAGAGAGTCGTAAGGAGAAAATAAGAAAAATAATGGCTCAAATAGTGGAAAACATAAAAGTTGTCCTAAAAATCCCACTATGAACTAAGAGCCATGAAGTCTAAAAACACTGCTTTTACAGAAAAAAAGACTAATTGCAATTTAGAGTTCTACATGGAGAGCAGTACAAAGTTATGGAGTGCTATTGTCTTTATATGGTGTCTTTTAAACTGGTGAATGGAAACCTGAAAACCTAAATAAAGTTTTGCCATCCACATTTTAATGAAGGGAAAACATTAGAAAATGTAAAAGAGAAAGCTCCAAAATTATATCCATAGATTATAAGTCCAAAAAAAAAGGATATTATTTAAATACAGCGTTTAAAATATTTTCACATGCAAAATGCATAGGGAGTAGTAAGAGCACAACAGAAAAAAAAAAAACAGCCAAAAATGAACCAATGCCTGGGAGATAAAGCTCATTAAATTTAGGAGAATTTTTTAAAATATCTTGAGACAAAGCTGTTATTAAAGAGAACTTCAAATCAGAACTGGATGCCTTTCTGAAAGATGTTTGTTAACCAGCAAGTTACTGGTTTCAACACAAAGCAACTAGGTGTAATTTCAGAGCCTGTGATTTACAATATGAACTCAAATAGCTTTATTCTAGGAATGAATCTAGTAAACTATTGACTGAATAAGAAACTAGCAGAGCTGATGGTGTATTTACCAAGGGATACAGAAGCCTACGTTCTGCATAATGTCTATCCTACTTAAAAAAAAGGCAGAAGAATTTCTCTAGTGATAGATGTGACACACTCCCTATTTTCTTACCTGTACAAGATATTTGTGTGCATGCTCATAGGTTGGTAAAGCTCCTTCTCCAATCAGCTCTGTATCAAATAATTCTGTTACCAGGATGTTTGCCCGACACTGCATATCTCCATCTAAAAGACACAAATTAACACTGTAATGTTAAATCTTTACATAAGTCTTTCAAGAAGATGCTATCCTGAATACACAAGTAGTTAAAAAACTTACTCCTGTTTGAGAGTCTGCTGAAGACTGGAAATTATTTTCCATTTGAAATACAAATGGCTACTGAGACATTACCAGAACACTTTCTTCTGAAGTAGATTTCCAGTGTTACTTTCTAGAATGTAAAGTATCACTGAATCCTTAAGGTTGGAGAAGACCTTTAAGATCAAGTTCAACCACTAACCCAGCACCACCACCATGTTCACCACTAACCCATGACCCCATGTGCCACATCCACACATTTTTGAACACTTCCAGGGATGCTGACTCTACCCTTTCCCTAAGCAGTCTTTTCAATGCTTTGCAACCCTTCCTGTGAAAAGAAATTTTCCTAATCTCCAGTCTAAACATCTCCTGGCACAACCTGACACCATCCTGTCACTTGTCACCTAGGAGAAGAGGCCAACCCTCACCTGGTTACAACCTCCTTTCAGCCAGATGTAGAGATGAACCCACCCCAGCTCCCTCAGTGTTCTTGATGCACTTGTTTTCATTAAAAAATGCATAGTGTATGTAAGTAAGTAAATCTTAGAGTAAGTAAGCAAAAAATGTTAAAGAGCAAGACCTAGTCCTTCGTGGTTTTCAGGTACTTGCCAATTTTTTTAAGTCCAGCCTATTTTTCTCACCTGGGCCAACTGTGATTTCAGTAGAATGCTTGTTGATTACTTTGATCTTGTCAGAAAAACCATTTTTCTCCACTATCTTCACAGCAGCATTAGCCATGGGCTTGAACACCTGTGAACAGCAAAAGTGTAACAAAATGGTTCCCCACAAGTCAGCTTTCAAAAATGGAAGGGCACCAACACAAATGCAATATATTTAGTTCTGAAAAAAGATTAACATCTTATCTTTTCCTACGTTTGAAACTCACTACTGTGAAACAAGGCAATGAGCCTCACTTGAAAAATTCAGAGCTTCACTGTTAGTTATCAGCTGCCTCCAAAAGCTACTCCAATTTAACTTTTGAAACACAAGAATATACATTAATACTGTAGCATTTATGTTTAACAAATTAATTTCTTTGTAAAAATAAAGATATCTATACATGCATCAACAGAAGCCCCCAAAGACTTACATGTGCTCAAGACACTATGCCAATGAAACCAAAACACCCAGCACTGAAACACTCACTGAAGTATGCCAGAAACCTGCTTGTATTAACAGTGTAATTGTTAAGAGAACTTCTGTTTCATTCAGAACAAAAATAAGAGAGACAGTACATAGCCTGAAAATAACAGCATCACAAAGAACATGTTGAATATGTGCAACCCCTAACCAATGCTCACCTCAATGGCATAGCAGAAATCTGCCCCAGCTGAAGCTGCCATCATGGACAGGAGTCCTGTGCCAGTCCCTATGTCCAGCACGATTGCTTTCTCACCTCTCTCTTTTACTCTGCTCACTGCAGCACGAATACCTTGGTAGTATTTCACATTCTGTGAAAAGAAAAAAAATCAGCAACATTTTATCCATTTATGTTTTTAATTTGTGTGCAGAAATCTTGCATTCTTTGACTGTGAGTTTATAATCAGAAAAAGGCCTACAGACACTTCTCATGCCAAACAGTCACACCAAAGCCATTTTCAGCAATAACAACTGTACCTGGCAGAATGAGCCCATTTGAAGTACATCAATATTTATCACAACATTTGTATTACCATTGGTCAATCAGCTATGTATGATTTCCAAATGTGATATATTTTCCTGAGCAAATAATAATCAGATGCATGGGAGATACTACAGGTTTTCTGATTAATCTTCCCCTGTAGGACCACTCAAATAGTCATATTCTCCCTATGGCAGTACAAGAGCTGAAGTATCTTCGTTTAGATTCCTCTCTTCATCTACTCAAAAAGGTTCATACATGAGAATTAACCAGTGTAAACACTGGTTTTTGGTTACAGGGCAATAAATGGAGCTATAAGCACACCAGCACCAATAACAGGAAAAAAATAAATGCTGTCAGCCACAACATACAGATTGATATATATGCTTTTATTTTCTTTATAACAACCTACTGTAAGACATTCCTTTGCAAATTATTTATCCAGCCTTTCCAAGGAATACACAGCCTTTGAACATTATACATTTGGAAGGTCTGCTGGACCCCCTTCTCAACAATTCTAGTCAACAACATTGATATATATAATTCCAGTAGCTGTTTTAATCACTCAGAAACAACCTGCTGCCTCTACACAGTTTATTAAATGCCTGATCCCACTGACATGTTTTAATTCAATATGAATTCCAGATTCATTGTGGAGGCACCACAAAAATCTTTCAAAACATTACTGATGGAAGGCTGACAATGGCTAGAGGAAAGTGAACATTTGAACTATTCACTCCAGACTTCATCATGCCTGTACATATGGTAGAAATACCACAGAAGAACAGACTTTACTTACACTTCTACAAAAACTAAGAAATCCAGCTTCTTTTTCACTGCCTTTGAAATTTCAACTAAGGAGCTCTCTGTCAAAAATGTCAAACACAGAACAGCAAAACTGGCTAATGAAGATAAAAATGTTCTGCAGTAAACAATAGGACACTAAAGTCAGGTGTAAGAAGGTATCTGTTGATCTAAGAGCAGGTCTGGTACCTTAATAGAGTACAAAAATGTGATCATTTAATCTTTCAGAGAAACCCATATAATCACACAGTGACAGCTATTCAGGAGAAATGCAATGGCTCTTTTTCCACCATTCAAAAGGGTTTTGCTTCTGTACTTACTCTGTCCTTATCATGAAGCATATCTGCATAGCGTGACCTGCAAGAAAAGATATTCCAGTTAAAATACTCCATTCTGCAAAGCAACTGCTCCCTGTGCCCCACAAATGCACAAACACTGATGCACTCTTTGAGGATCTAAAGTGTTTCTCTAATCTAAGGGATAATGTAGCTTCAGTGATCTGGCCATCAGCATATAAATCAACCACTGGCATCATCAACCTCATGAACCACTGGCATAAATCCTCTCCACAGCAATGGACCCAAGGCACAGACAGACCTACAGACAAGCAGCTGTGAAGTAGCACCTGAGACACACATAGAGTCATACAGAGCAATGAAAGACAGGCCTTTTTTTTACTAAGACTTAAACTTCTTTGGTTCCCATTTCTTCATGGGTTGCACTACTCAAAAATACCCCAAAATATATCTTCTCACCTTCTCTGGCTATTACACTAAGCTCTTAAAAAGCAAGGACAGACAACTGGCAGTTACATGTTGCACTGGCATTTAAAAGCAATTTTGTCCCAACTCAGTCAGTATCAGGATCAGCCCCACAGAAAACATTTTTAAAAACTTAGAAGGAAACTACTTGGAGAATGACTTACAATATTCTACACTGACAGCTCTGCCCTGTACACCACTGGGCACATCTACAGTCTGTTCACCTCATGCCCTTAGAAGTCCGACAAAGACAGACCCCCAAACTGCCCTTAAAAAAATGCTGGATTTGCTCATTTTTCACTGTCCTTTAAAGCAACAAGCTACTTTTCCAAGCATACCTTGCAATCTCCTGGTGGTAGTCATAGTCCTCACTCTCTTCCAGCCACTCCATCGAGCCCGTGGTTGGATTGGCTCTTCCACAAAAGGTCTTCATGATCAATGTCAAGCTGTATTGTAGTATTTATGTATTGTGTGCAGCTTTGCTTCAATATAATACACCAAATACTGTCTGTGAAAAAAACCAAAAAAACCAACAAACCAACCACAAATCTTTTAGTAAACACAAAAAGTACCACTTTAGCTGGTGTACATTTCCCCGACTACACCTGCCTTGACCAGAAGGTAGGCATACTGGTGATAACTTTATGCTTTTTTCATAAGGACGTTTTAAGCTAAAATCTGTCACCTAACCCTACAGTGAAAAGGGACCCTGAAGATCATCTAGGTGTAACCCCTGAGAACACAACACAGGAAATAAACTAAGCACTAAATCCTCGTGAAGAGCATCCCGTAAGGGAGCACGTCGGGCCGGCGGCGGCTCCTCTCCCGGAGTCCCCACAGCGTGCCCGAGGAGGGATCGGCACAGGCCCGGACCTTCCCCGCCTCACGAACGAGCTGCGATGGGGCACGGCCAGAGCGTTCTCCGCCATCCCCTGCCCGGAGCCAGCGCAGCGGGCCCGAGAAGCTGCGGGCTCGTCCCTCCGCAGAGCCCAGGCCGGCAGCTCCGCAAGCCGTGTGTACCTCCCGCAGATACCGCGTGTGCCCACCTTGAGCACGGCGTGTGCGCCCGCCCCGGATGCCGCGTGTGGCTACCCCGGACACCGCGTGTGCTCGCCCCGAGCGCCGCTCGTGCCCGCCCCGGCACCGCGTGTCCCTGTCCCGGACACGGGGTCACTCCGCCTCCGCTGCCGCAGAGCCCGAGCCGCGGGCCCGGCGCCGTGCGGGCGCTCCGCCCCTTCCCGCGGGCGCCATGGCGGGCGCGGCCGTGCTGCGCGTGCGGCGGAAGCGCGGCGGCCCCGAGCCGGCCGAGGCGCTGCTCCTGGCCTGCAAGCGGCGCCGCGCCGAGCCCGTGGAGACCAACCTCTTCAAGCTGGTGGCGACCGTGTCCTCCAAGGTACTGGGCCGGGCCGGGCCGGGCGGAGTGAGCCGGTGCTTCTGGAGGGGTTTGGAAAGCAGCGGCTCTGTCTGGCTGCTCCTCGCGGTCTCTCAGGGCTCCCCTGTGGGTGCGGTGGTCTGGAGAATAGCCCGGCCGCGGGCAGCGCCGGGCAGTGCCGGTAACCGAGGGCACGGCGGCTCCTCCCGCCCTGTGACGGCCGCGGGCCGGGCAGGAGCAGAGCCACGGCCCACAGCACGCAGTGACCCCCGTGACAAGCTGTGCCCAGCACTCGCTTTTCTACACTTAAGAGACTCTTCCTCGCTTGGAAACTACAGAACAGTCAATAAGTGAAGCTTGAATTTCTGCTGTGTGAGATGCTGAAGCTCAGCCCTACAAGGATAACAACTGCCATCCAGCTTTAGGTCCGTTGCAGTCTTCCAAAGGCATGTGGTTTTGTTTGGAGAGCTATTCTGTACCACTAAGTTGTTTAAAAATCAAATTGAAACAGTCTTAGGACTTCTGTTCTATATCTTGTGCTTTTCTCCCCTCATAATAAGAGATTATTATGATTGTTATGTTGCTTAAAGTAATAGCAGAAGTTACTTGAATGTTGTGAGGATTATTGGTACTGCGGTTCTTCATCTCTTCTAAGAAGGAGTATGAATTGCTATGTTGATGCTATTGTTATGTTCCTCCTCCTTTTTGTTCTTTTCTCCCAGAATGAACCAGTTCAGAAGTATGTTAAAGATGCCATCACGCGGGACAAGGCAGCTCAAAGCCTGCGCCCCTCTTCGGGAAGCAGCCAGCGAATCCTTCAGGAGCTCCGTTGTGCCAAGCAGGCGAGAAGGAAGGAGAACCGGTACCGGGTGATTTCCAGCCACCGGCCCAACTGCACCCACACAGCTGACCCTGCCACCCACGGCCAGGCTGCGCCCCACGGGGACAGGTCTGAGTCTGAAGCACTGCAGGATGCTTCACCAGAAGAGAGCGGTGCTGTGGATAAGACTTCAGACTGCTGTGGGAAATTCCAGCTGTTTGATATTGTACAAGAAGAGGAGACGGTGGGAGATTCCAGTGTAGCCACTGCAAACCCACAGGTCAGCTATGAACTTGGTGTGCTTGAAGTACTTTGGTATGGCTGTTGAGTGGTACGTGTGGGCAGGCTGCTGTGGGAGTTTGCCTGCAATGTCAATATTCCACTATTTAATAGGCACTTTAACTAGATTGCAAGTTGGAATGTTTCATGAGGACCCTAAGTGCACTAATGTTGAAACAGACAGTGTGCGGAGCTGCTGCTTAAGGAAGGGCTTGTACCACCCTATTTTTTCTTTGCCCTGGTCTGATATACAGATTCTCTTTTCATCTGAAAACTATTGGCTGTAAATAAGACTTTGCATGACTTTAGTGGAAATACTCATTTTCTTATTTTTTCTCAGCAGAAGGCTGATCCAGATGCAATTCTTTGCAATGCAGTAGAGATGATCCGTGAACGTTTAAATGTTTCTGAGGATGGTAAAAAAGAGCATGGTCACAAAGAAGAGGAGTATGTTTATGACATCTACTATAAGGAAACATCAGCCCCTGATTGGATTGAAAATATCCTTTCTGTACAGCCCTATAGAGAAGAATATGAATGGGTAAGGCTGTGGAAAAAATTATCTTATCTTTCTCAACTAGAAAAATCACAAACTGTGTTTAAAGTCCTGCTCTTAAAAGCTGCCATGCCAAGAAAAGTCCTTTAAGACAGACACTACATGTAAGCTCAGTGACTTCTGTGTTAGGCCTTTTGTAACTGCCAGTCCCATGCTCCTGCAGGTTACTGTTGATCCTGGGACATCATATGACAAATGAGAAGAATCTGTCTGGTTTCAAGCTGCCAGTTAAATTTTGGCACACAAAACTAGAGTAATTTATGTCTTGCTTGCGATTAGGAGGCAGCCATTAAAATGTCATTGTAAATATGACTGAATAAAGAGAAGGGGGGGACACAACTTTTACAGTATTTGAGGACTTGACTTTAGTCTTCATATGAGATATTTTTTCATAATAAATTGTTCTTCAGTGACTAGGAAGTTTAATGTAAGGTTTAGTCTTGTGTTGTATAGTTCCGGTGATCAACACACTTGTATATTGGGAGCCTGAAATTACTTTCACTCTTCCTTGATCTATTACAATTACTGCTGGAGTGAGCAGGATTAAGCTAGACATTAACATTGAAGTGCTGGAGTGGAACACATACATGTATGACTTCACTGATTGTTCACCTAAAGCAGATTTGAAGTGCTATGGTGAATGCAGTGACAACTCAAATTCTTCTGCAGTGTGCCTTGTGTCACTGCAGAATTCCTTCTGCCTGCCACCAGTAAGTATTTCCTGGCTTTTTCTGAACTGTACAGTATTGCACAGGTGGATGAAAACTCACTTAACATTCATTATAAACACAGACACTCAGCATTATGTTTTGTGTTGATGTGCAGGTAAATGATGATCCTGGTCCAGAGGAAGTGTATGAAGATGAAGATGATGAAAATGATGAAAATAACTGGCGTAATGATTATCCTGAAGAAGATGAATTCTTACCTGAAGAAGATGGAGAAAAAGGTACACCTGTCATAAATGCTGTTTGCTTTCCTGCTGTGCATGTATACATCTCCTCTTTTTTACATGCTGTCCCTAAAAAAAGCAACTTAACTGAGAACTGCCGGGGTAGCATTCTGCTCTTACAATAGTGAAATGTGCACAGAGGAGGATTATCTTTCTTGGAACTAGAAGAGAAATTAGTGTTTGTGAAAAGACAAAACTGAGAAGTCAAATTGAGGGTGCTGGAATTGCAAAGGTTTGCTTGCTTAGAGAAGGAATCCATGACTTGGGTCCACATGCTTGTGAAACACTGTCTCTGCCTTCTGAAGTCCCCAGCCCAGAGTACTTCAAGCACAATTCAAGCCTCAGCTCATACAGAAGTTGTTCAGACTTTGTTAGTTTCTCAAGAAGCTTAAACTAGTTTGATTCTCTTAATTTTTTAAGTAAAAATAAGGGATAATCCAGAAGCGTTGATGCTTTCATTGCAGACTCTGAAGAGAGCTTCAGTGATGAGGACCAATGTTACAGGAGAAGAACATGGGACAAATATCGACAGGAGGTTTTGCAGGAATTTGGATACGATGAGATTGAAGATTTGGGTTCTGACTAACAGCCTGGTGTTGGAGATGAAATGCATACCGAAGGTGAACATTTGCTGCTGTAGGAGAATGTACTATCTGAGCAGCCAGCTTCAGCTGGTGGATATTAAACAGATGGGTGTGACTATGGCCATTTGACAACACAAATGTTTTTCCAACCATAAGATGCTCTATGCTATAAAATAGACTTTTCCACCCATTGCATGTGTTGAGGTTTTGAAGGGACCTTTTATTTATTTTTGTTTTCCCAAAGCTGCATGCCCAAGAGTTTGTACCTGTAGGAAATGTACAGATATGGAGGTACTGTTGGCAGCAGCCCTTCTGGTCATGTCTAATACATCAGGTTTCACAAGAAGACCCATGTGTCTGCCCTGATGGCAAATGGGAGTCCTTGAAGGCACCCTAGCCTACTGCTTTCTACTTCATTTGTTCCTAAATGTCAAGTGACTTTCTTCACAAGTGTTTGAGCATATGAAATGCCTTGACCTGTCCATTACTCTCCCCAGTAGTTTTACTGTTGGAGTAGAACAATGTGCATTTAATTTGTAAATAAATTTTTTTTGACCAAGTTTTCTTTACTCATTTAAAGATCACAGAAGTTGGTACAGCTGAACCCAGGTCACCATTTTAATTTGCATTTGTACATCTTTAAAACAATTCCATTGTACTTGTTTGGACACATGAAGTATTTCAGCACCCTCCTACTTGAGTCTGTAAAAAACAGCTGATAGGATTAGCTCTTAGCTGGTCAGTGTCATTCATGAACTGGAGGCTGCAGCAGTACTTAGGCCAGTCAGTCTTGACTGGTAATAACAAAGGAGTGGAGGCAAGGTATTTTTGTTTGCTTCAGAGAAAGGTTAACATGGCAGTGCAAAAATTCCAGTATCCTCACTATTATTCAGGTCACTGATGCAACTGTGGTGCACCCTTTGAAGTATGTATTGCTTCACCATAGTCTTGTAATTACAAGACTTAATTCAACTTAAATGCACAAAACCATACATCTGGCCAAACTCAGGTCAACTGAGATAGACAGAAGGTAAAAATCTCAGGTATGTTTTTGAAGTACATCTCACTTTGCCAGACAAACAAGCTTCTTGTTGCCTTTTTCTGCACCAAAATTCAGTATCAAAACTCTCCTGATTTAAGGCTTACAGCTTTGGAATTCCATAGACTATGAATCAGCATGTATATGCTGCAGTAGCACCTTTTACTTCTGTTTTTATTTCTAGTTTTTCTCCCTGCTACTTAGCTGTCAAGATCTAGTATCTGCCACAGAAATTCTGCTATAGAAGGGAAAAAAAACCTGTTTCTGGGAGGTTTTAGGTGGTCACTTTCTAGTGAACAGCACTGAAATTTATAAAGGGAATTTTCTGACTGCTGAGGTAACTCAGCTACTGTCTTCACTGAAACAGTTCACAAACAAATGTTTACAGGCTTCAAACTGAACTTTTTAATTTTGGAAGTTTCGTAAAACCTAGCAGTAATTTACAAAATACTAACAAGTAAACAAGAAAAAAATCAACCATTAATCAAATCTTCAGTGGCAAGGTGCTTAGCTGATTAAATCCTTCCCACAGTCAGATACATTTCCATGTAGCATAGAGAATAAAATCTTTAAGGGAAAGGTTGGTTCAGTCTATAAATAATGGAGCAGAACTTAATTTATCATTAGGGGCAGAAAAACAAATGAAGTAGTTTGTTGTGACCAGTTTTCTTCTGGGAAAAGAACTGACATAGTATAGCAAATCATTTCATGCAAGCGTGCATCAGATTTAAGCTGGAAATGACTTCATCTTTGGAGTCGAAGTGGATTTCAGTCTGATGCAATAATGCATTACTTCACCACCTGGTTCTGTAGAAATCTAATTTGATCCATTAGCTCTTACCATTTTCATACCAATTCTGAAGAAGAAACAGTATTGACACACAGCTTGTGTGAGTAGGTAATGAGCAGGTAATCATTATCCAATGAAAACCTGCCCTGAAAACATGCCACAGTTTAGGAGGATGACACAAGGGCATGATCCACGTTGGAATCCATCTGCAACGAGTAAGATTTTCAGCATTTCTGAAAGACCACTGAAAACAGTTTTTCTGTGTCTTCCAGTTCCAGCTCTTCCCTTTCTTTTGTGTAATTATTTTATCCTCCCTTCTGCTTCCTGTAATGGCTTTAAACTTTACTTGGATTTGATTTCTGGTTTCTTTTCTTCATTTGGGTCCATCTCTGTTAAAACGCAGTAACAGAGCAGCTGAATGTTTCGTGTGACAGCACCTGCAGAGAAATTGGAGACAAATTAGAACAACAGCCACCTATCTCAACTCTAATTACAAAACACATCTGACTAATGAAAGCTGACAGGAATGCTGTCCACTTCTCTTTAGAGAAACAAAGAATAAAAGCTAGTACAATAACTGTGTCCCACTCATTTTTAACAGAATCTTAAATTGTTCCTGTTGATATCCTAGGGTGTTCTGTTTCTTAGGCAGAATCCTGCCAAGTAACTAAAGTAAAATCTTTTTTCTCTGTAATTAAGAGCGTAAAATTGGTGGAATAAAGAAAGTAAAACTGATAGCACACAGGGAAAGCTACAAGATTACTGAGTATTTACATACATTCTACTACTGCAGCACCACATCCTGCTTTCAGGGTAAGGTTATGCTATAAACCTTCCTCACCACATCCCACATCATGGCTGTCTCACATAGTAGCAATAACAAAAGAGCACCCATGGAGAAAAGTTTTGTGTAATTCAACTGCTGTAATTCAACAGAAGGCAAAATTCCATTCTTTAGTAACATAAAATCTTTATATTTTCAAATACCTGATTCACTAAAGCTGGACAGTTTGTGCTACCAAGAATGTTCACACTTCTTACAGTCATCAATCTTGGTTCAAATAAAGACTTTTTCTTGATGTTTTGGCTATTGCTGAACAGTGTTTGCACAGTATCAAGGCTTCTTTTCTTTCCTCTTACTCATCTCTTCCTGCAGCTGGCAGGATGGGAGAGGGCAGGAAGTCTGGCAGGAAGATGGCTACAGCAGCTCACCCAAACTATGCAAAGGGCTATTTCGTGCTATCTGGTGTCATGCTCAGCAATAGAAACGGATTGAGCAAGAAGTGTTTGCCTGTGGGAGTGTTTTCCCATACAGCTGTTGCTTGGAGACTGGCTGCACACTGGGCTGCCTGTGAAATGTGTGACTGATTGCTCTTGCAGCAGCAGGGCTTTTTCCCCTCTTCACTTACTAAACTATTTGACTTGACCAGCAGGTATTCCCACCTTTGTTCTTCCTGTTCTGTCCCTCGTGCTGCTGGGGTTGCTGATGAGCCAGCCCTGGGTCAGCCCACCACAGCCCTTTCCATCAACAGAATAAGAGTCACCCACTTACTTTTCCTCTTTCCTAACAACATCACCACTTACTTTTCCTCTTTCCTAACAACATTTCCATTTCCTAACAAAGAAACTTACCCATAATTTTGTTGATAAATTGAGGTCTCCTTGATGCAGGTAAATAGACTCCCAAGAAAAAGAATGGAATTCCAGATAAAGCAATAGCAATTCCAATCACTGAATTTATAAAGTCACTATAGAGTGGCACTACCACCAGAAATATTGTGCATATACAGAATATTATTGGGAAAGCCAGACTCAGCTGCAGACAGAAAAAAGAGAACGCAGTGTTAATGAAATATTCACTGTCTATAGTTACAAACATTATGATACAGACTTTTCTCTCTGAAACCCTCCTTGTGGAATTTGTGCTTCCTCTCATATATATATATAGCTATTTAGGACCATAAGCAAATTGCAGAATTATTCTTAACGGAACTGTTGCTAAATACTGCAAAAGAAATCAACTATGGTAACTGCTGTGCTGAAAGAAAGTGCATAGTGGTATGAAGTGTTTTTAGACAAAACCAGTAAAACTTGGGAAACAAGAATTACTGACTTTTTTGAGTAGAGTATCAAAGTATGAGGTTAGAGGATCAGATACCATTGGAGCTAAAGGTGATCCACAGAGTTACTTAACTTGAACATTTCCAATCAGAGATTTCTGCTGCTAGATAAAAGCAGAAATGTTGGGCATTGAGACATTCTCCATTGGGCAGACAGAAGGGGTACTTATTGAACTAGCATATAATAATAGAGCGTACTGACACCACAATCTCTTGTTCTTACCTAGCAGACAAGCTAACTTTCATGGAAGAATATAAGGGGAAATCACACTTTATATCCTGATCAGTCTGTAACTTTTACACTTAACATGTATGGTCCAGATTTTAGACAGTACTTTTATATAATATGGAATTTAAACAATTGTGTAATAAGCATTACCTTAAGAGGTCTTGGCCGATCTGGTTCTTTCCAACGTAGATATAACTGCCCAGCAATAGACAGACCAACAAAAAACCAGTAACTGAAGCTGAAGTAATTAATCAGCTTGAAGACATCTTCCACAGCCAGGTAAATAAGGGTCATAAAACACTGTCAGAAAAGAACAAGAGTAAGAATTTAAACCCAAAGATTTGGAACTTACTGTTTATCCTGGTTTTTGCCTTTAAGTAACATCTTATACTCCTTGGTGTCTGGCATAATTTTATGCCTCAAAAAATTACTCTCTCAGCGAGCAGTTTGATGATAGTATATTTTATCTCTTGTGATTTTTTTAAAGTTTTCCTTTCAATAATTCATATTCTTGTTCTGAAAAAGTTGGCCTAATTCATTGACTGGATCACAATAAATTACATTCTGCTTCAGGAGACTGGGTTTCTCAGCTGCATTTAGATGCAATAAGGATCTGTGAGAAGCACTCTGGGCTCTAGGAATTATTTAGTCTTGAAATCTAGCAGAAATCTTTTATATACAATATGTCAATAATTAGTTGCAGTTTCAACTGGGTGAAAATGCAATGCATTGTAATCCATGGCATACAGAACACATTTCTAATGGCATGGCCAGCTAAATTGATGTTCTGATTTCAGCACGAAATAGAATACGTACATGGACTAGTTCTTTTATACTTTTCTCATGTTATTTTTATACATGTATATTTGTGTACATTTTTCTAGCCCTGTGTTGAAGCTCCATTTTGAGGGAAGCTGTGCTGTGGGTCCCATCTAATTAGTTGAAAAGAAAAGCAATAACTTGCATTGAAGAGCAGAGCTGGCACGGGTGTGAACCTCTTTATGTGGATCATAGACAACAGATCAGGAAGGTGACCTTCCCGAGATCCTACAAAAAATAGCCTGAAAAAAGCAGTAAAACACATGTTGAGACCATAGGCAAGAGAGAATATATTACAGAAAATCAAAGAATAACACCAGTCAAAATAAATATTTACAACACTGAATTTCTGTCCTTTAAACTGGAACCTTCTTATAAAGATGTACTGTACAACAACCATTGAAAGGTAGGTAAGCTTTTAGAAACAAGCTGGTAAGAACCATTTTTTAAAAAAATCATCCTACAGGTAAAATAGACAATATCTACAGTAACTGAAACAAATTTCTATTGTTTCACAAAATTCTAAAAGCTAGCACTGAAAACATTCCAGCTTAGGGAAGAATAGTTTTCAATGCCAACCAGAAGAGATTGCCAGGTCCCTAAAATTATGTCACTCAATCACATGCTCAAAAAACAAACAAACACAATTTTATTACCAACTGTTCTATATTGATTGCTTCACCAAATGATCATATTTCTTGTCAACAGAGGCATTGCAAATTCATTCAATGCATAGGGAGAATATTAAAATGCCTGAATAAATCTATTTAAAACTTTTGCTAGTTATATCCACAATCAGTGCTCAAAGAAAAGGTTCTACACAGTATCCTAAGCTTTTTGATTGCAGTTTCATAGCAGTAACAAGTTTGTTAGAGTTTTTCAAAGTACAAAGTTTTAAAATACTGATTTTAAAATGTCAGTAAGTTTTAGATAAATACATTTGAAACCAAAAACTTGCTAGAATTATTCTGTCAAGTAAAATGGAAGGTAATGCAAATGATCAGAAGACCTGAGGACTCACCACACAGACAAAATTAATTTGATCTTATAATTATGCTCTGCATACACTCAGGCATGCTTTGGAGAAACAAGGCAGTGTTGAGGGTGTACGTACAGACACACACAGACACACACACCGAGGGTTTGTTTGATCTGTGGTTTTATTGTGGCTATTCATGATAGGTTCAGTTAAAAAAGTATTTTTGCCTCTCTCACAACAGTTCAGCACAACAGTAACACGTAAAAAGACTTATGAACATTTGTCAAACTGAAAGAGGTAAGCACTACCTTGATGATGCTAGAATTGAAGCATTAAGTCCACCAAAGCAAGAAAAGGCTACAGCAATGGGAATTGTCCAGCTGAACATACCAAATATCTTGTCAGCAAATGTCTGATGAAAAGGAAAAGAAAAGGAAACATGAAAATATCTGCAAAAAAGAATATGTAAAACAGTGACATCAGAGCTTTTCTAATACACTTGTATGCAAAAATAGTAACATAGTAAGGACAGTACATAATGCAGCACAAAGAATCACACAGCTGTCTTATTTATTTATGGATTCTAAATAAGCACAAACTTTTTAGCCAAGCATCTGAAGTTCATATTTTCTGCTCATAAAGGAAAAGAAAATATTTCGAGAATTTTCTTCCCAATCCTAATATATTTTATTATCTAACTGACCTACAGAACACAAGTGAACATTCTCTGGATTACTAAAAATATTACCTAGCCAAACAGGGAAGTGCCATATTGCAGTGAATAACCACTGCCAACATCACAGCTACTGTTCATAGATTCTATTCTAGGAATCTACTTTAATTTCCTTTTTTTTGCAGTTTCCTAAGCAACATCTTTTCCTTTAGCTCCACTGGCAGGGCCTCTGGACTCTACTCTCACAACTTCGCAAATAACAGAGCAAGTGATCTTATCACTTGCTCCATCCTTGATGTTGCTAGACAATACTGCAAGAAACTGTGCTGACTGTCCATGGTAAAGCTCTGAAACCAAGAAGTCAGGAGAATCAAAGCTTCATAGCAAGCGGTAAGGGCCACTGATTGCCAGCAATCCTGGATCTGAAACAAAAATGGGTAATAATTTGCAATATACTGTCCTGGTCTATTCTGCTCAACCTCCTGGATGGAGAAAAAAGGCAGAGAGACTTAAAGTATCAGATAACACATCTGAAACATGAAGAAATTCAATTCATGCAGACTGACAGGGATTCCACCTCCTATCTTGGTCTGAGCATTGTACATATCTAGACACCAGCATGAAGCTAGGCAGAAATGCCCTCATGCTGTGTTCAGAGGATGAGGGTGGAAGCCTTCCTACCCATCCCACATCTACCTACACATAACTAAATCACTTCCATCATTTCTTTTACAGAAGCAAACTAACAGTCATATAGCAAAAGAATCATGTCCACATTAGACAGCATGAAGTCACTATTTAAGGAAACAGAAAGGTACATACTCATGTATAAGGAGTATTCAAACAAAGATTTGAACATTTCACATCTTAGCAAGCAGCAGTAATGTGAATCTTTTATGAACCTTTCTCTAAATCACCTTCTTATCTCTCTGGCTTTATAAATTTCAAGATCCTCAGACATAAAAAGTATAGATAGTAATTCAGCTTTCTGCAAGTCTGTCTATTATAAAAATGTTCTTCAGTTTTTAATATTTTAGTATTTTTAAATACCTTGCCCTTGACCTCCCCCTCAATGCACTGGTCTTCATCATAACATTTATGAGCTAAGGAGCTCAATCAAAGGTGATAAACACTCAGAACTGTCCTTTATCTGTACCATATGAAGTTATCTCTATTTAACAGTGGTCAAATTTTGATGTAGTTACTCCAGGAACCAGATCATCAATAGCAGTCCACTACAATCTGTTTTCTTAATGTTTTTGTAGGTCAAAAAAGCCTAAAAGACTTAATATAGTTGGTTGGGGTATTTTTTTTTTGTTTGTTTGTTTTTTTTGGGTTTTTTTTTGTTACATCAGTACTTCATTTTCAGGAGACAAAACCCTATAAATAATGTCAATTTTTAGGCCACAAGATGCTGAGAAATTCACTGACATAAACCAAAGCTTGGCCAGCTATAATTTCCTGTTCTTTGTCTACATTGAAAAAATGCTTTGTCCAGCACATTATCCAGATTATGGGTCAGAATCCAACTCTGCTGTGTTCCCTCATTAACACTAAAAAGCAGAATATATTCCATCCTTTTGTGTCATTTAGTTGAGCCTTAAAAGCAGACAGGATTTCCTGCTGCTAAAGGACAATGCAAAGCCACATAATCACAAGGGAACTTCGCCTAAAGGCTCAGAGTTAATGCATCAACTGTGTCACCCTCATTCTCAGAAAGGCACCTCTCTTCCTGAGCTATTTTAGTTTATCCATCTTAGCACAGCTTCGCTCAAAATGGAGCTTCAACATGGGTGGAAAAATGCATACAGATTCCTAGAGATATTATAAAAAATAACAGGAGAAAAGTATAAAAGAACTAGTCCGTGTACATACCTACTTCATGCTGAAATCAGAACATCAATTTAGCAAAAGGCCATGCCATTAGGAATGTGTTCTGTATACCATGGATTACATTTCCAGCCAACTGAAACTGCAACTAATAATTTACATTATTGTATACAAAAGATTTCTGCTGCTTAAGACTAAATAACTCCTAAAACCTGAAGTGCTTCTCCCAGATCCTTACTGCATCTAAATGCAGCTCAGAGAAACACAGTCCCCTGAAGCAGAATGTAATTTATTATGATCCAGTCAATGAATTAAGACAACTCCTCCAGAACAAGAATGATGACAAGATGAAAATTCTAATAAGCAACTGTTGTAATATTTTAAAGGAATATTTAAACCTGAACTTCTGATTTCTGAAGCCTAACAATAAGTGAAATTACCAGACACAAACCTCCTGGAGGATATTTTGTTTTAATATATAAAGTTAAGATACAGAACAAGATGTTAGAGAATTAAGATGTTTAGTAAAATTGCCTAAAGGATAAGCATTTAGATAAGTAATATTAACTGCTGAAGCTAAAGAAGAAAGAAAAAACCTATTAATGTAGTCTTATGCTGAAGGATGCAAGTTAGCTAATATACCATTTGGAGAAATATTTTCCCCCCAAAGATGTTCTTTGCAAACATTTTCTATTTCCTTTTGAAACATCTGGTAATGGGCCAGTGTGAATGACAGGTGCAGGACTAACTCAAAGGCTATTTCCATCCTGTAATGTGTATCAAATTGTTCTAGGAGATGCTAATACTGTTCCACACATATTGGAAAACAACAATCATTCATATGAACAGTAAGACCCACAAGCTATATACAGACCAAAATGCTACAGATTCAATGTATTCTGGATGCAGGCTGTGTTCTACACCAACTGTTGATCCAGCTCAAAGCCTAAATAAGTGATTTCCCTAGAGCTGTACAAGTCAGACTCTTCAAAAAAGAGAGTAATGCAGTGACAACCTCTACCAGACACTGTCATTTCCAATGTACTTTCTAATGCTGTAGTTGGGATTCCTGACAGAGCAAAGGGTGGAGAAACTTCAAGAGCTAAACTTGAGGTGAGGCAATACAAATGACTATTTTAATTGAGAATCATCTAAAAAAGTTCAGCTTGGTTTGCCAAGTAGATCTGCCTGCAAAATGATCTTTCAGCAAAACAAAGTTGAAGGTACCTGAAGTTTGCCTAATCTGTCTATTGATATTAACCAACTTAACATGAACATAAAGACCCACCTGCTTTTAGGCAGGCATTTTGTGACAGTTTCACCTTCATTTATAACAAAAATCAGCCAAGTTCATTACTACTACTCAGACACTTGAGTACAAATTTATAAATCCTTCAATACCCTCCTTTCAACGGATGCCAAGAAGTGTCTTCTTTAAAGCTCAGCTATAGTCTCTTGTGAACAAAGGCAAACCCAAAGATCTCCACAGTGTTTCTTGCTAAAAGAGTTACTGAAGTCTAAGTAAATGCAGCCACAAGAAACATTCACTGCATGCATATCAGAGGATTATTTTGCATAAGAAGGCAGGGTAGAGAAAAGTACAACAGGAAATCAAGTTATCAAGCACACACACTGAGTGCACTGCACCAAGAAGGGAAAGGGAAAAGTAGAAGAGTTAGTGGTTGCTTTCTGCTAAAACCACAACTGTACAATCATGGATCCTCCACAAATGAGCCAGACCTGGGCTCTGAGCTGAGCTCCTCGCCAATTCTACTTTAACTGCCACTACTTCTGGGAGATGTGAAGTGCATTTATAAAAACAAACGAGCTGGCAATGGAGGAAAGAATAGAGCATTGACAAAGGTATGTGGAGGATGACAGAGGAGCCTACCTGGAGGCAGCTATAAGCAGAAACATTTAGTCCACCATAACAGGAGAAAGCCACCACTATGGGGATGGATATCATCTCAGGATTCTTCTGAGAAAGTCTAAAGAGCAAGAAGGATTAAGAGATTAAATTGTCATCTCTGCTACAGTATGACAAATCTTGTAGTCCAGACTTGAATTATAACTGCTTCTAACAGCTTGGAAACAGAATTCAGAGAAGTGCTGATGTAACACTTGCAATTACAGATACAGTTCTTTTATGCCCTCCCATCCATTGAATGTGTAAGGTATACATAGATACACACACACTGTAGGACATGCACTAAGAATTGTTCCTTTTAGTTTTGATTTTTTTTTTTTCAAACCAACATCAGGTATTAAAGAAGGAAAAGGCTTTCCAGCCATGCACTTCTCAGCTGAACTGCCCTTATTTAATCATGACTAAAATGTTACATTACTCCCAGAAGAATGGTCAAAAACTGAATTACAGCTTTGTTTCAAGGCATGAATGACTGAATAAACTACATTTTACTTTTGTCTTGAGTTAGTTTGATCTCATGATCATCAGCTGGTAAGTTGTGAATGGTTTGCAAGAACACTTTTTTGTCCTTTTAAAGGTCCAAACAACAGTTCTGTACAAACAGGTTGAACTAAAAGCAGCAGAAATTCCAGCATCAAGAGCTGCCACAGCAAAATACACAGGATACTGCCTCACACTCAGTAATTCAGGCACACAGATGAGTAGCAAGACCCACATTCATATTACAAACCACAAGATGAGAACTGTTTCATCACACTTAGCTGCACATTAGAAGTGTACTTAGAGGCACACAAGAAACGTCAGACTACACTGAGAGCATATGGAGCCACAAGCTCATGTGATGCTGGCAAAGCACCACACAGTATTGATTGGAGGGACAAATGGAGAAATGCAAAGAGAATGTAGCCTAACATGAATAAGAAACTTATTAAAAAAAAATCCAAGGATTATGAGGTGTTTCTATTAGGAAAGTTTAAAAGGCATCTACAGAGCCTCTTCATGTAACTCATTACAAGATCCTATTGCCCAGGAGCTTTTCCAGACCAAGTTCTATAACATTCTTACGTGAAAATCATACAGAGCAGTAAGGGAACATATATGAATACACACACACACACACACACACATATATATATATATATATATCTGTGAGCCATCTGACTGGTATTTTGGAAACACAATAATTCTGCTTTGACATTTCTCTTGAGGTGAAGTATAAATACATTCACACATTACAGGAAAATCTGGCAGTCAGAACTACAGTACGTTTTCTTAATTTTGAGCTTTTGAGGACACTAAGGTGCTATTGCCTACCAGAAACAAACTCTTGATTTATGGCAATCTGGAAGCTGCACATGCAAAAAAAAGCACCCGAGCAGAAGAAGTTTTCTGCCACTGCCATAGATTACATTGTCAGGATACTGTATGACATCTCTCTCTACTCCCCATCTCTCCCCACCAAATTAGATTTAATATCACATATATTAAAAGAAACGAAAGAGTGCCCATTGACCAAACACAGAAAATTGTAACGGTGCAAAAGAAAACAATTTAAGTGTGTCTCTTGTAATTCTGGTTTCAATTACCATGCTGTTGATCAATTCTACTCAGACATAATTCTCTTGTTGTATTATTGGCAACACTTTTACTGGGAGAAAAAGGTAGCAGAGTGCAGTAAGAAGTCCAGCATAAAATTCCCACTTCATTTTTAGGTCACTGAATACAATCTTATGGCAAGAGAACCAGCACTACTCTGCTGCATTAATACACTGCATTCCTACTTGCATATAAGATGTCTCTTCTGCACAGTCCACATTAAAATTTCCAATGTCAGCTCCAACAGTAAAATAGCTTCATTTACATTTTCATGGAGGTGCTGAAGATATTTGATCTAAACCTTCTCAGGTGTTTATCCTCTTCTTAGCATCTGTCATAGCTAGCTGTAGAACAAGGGTTCAGTGTTTCCCAAGTCTCTTACTTATCTCATACTGAAAATATAAGATAGCATTCTCCAGTTCAGCTCAGCTTTTCAGCTTGGGCTCCAAAGCCAGAGAACTTCCATGTAGCTGCCATCAGGAGTGTTGCATTGGCAGTGAATTACAGCTAGATCCAAGAAAGAAGGCAAATAACTTACTGAACAACTCTCCCTCTAAAAGCAACTGCCTGCCCCTAATGAAGAGTTCTTCAGTTTTAAGGTATGGAATGTGCTCTTCATCCAAGGAAACCTTACTGGGAAGTGCCCATGCAAGCAAAGAAGAGGAACATGACACTGATGGCTAAGGACAAGCAGATTTTTCTTTTCAGAAAAGAAGATAGTGAAGCCAATGAAGGAAGAGAAGTAATACCCATAAGGTCTAAGAAGAACTTTAAAATTTCTGTCCGAAATCAGTTAGAAAAAAGATACTCAACATTTATTAAACTACTCCAAAGAAGAATAAAACAGCTAAACACACAGCCTCCCACATTCCAGTTCATTGAGGGAGCATGGCAAAGCAAAGCAAGCCTGCTCTAGAATATGAGAGCACCAGAGTGAACTGATGCACCTGCACTGGACTCACAGGATGATACTCAAAGATGCAACTGAAGTCATCCTCTTTATCCCCAGTTTGCTGACAAAGTTGTACAGCTCCAAGAAAGATGACAGCAGGCTATGCACGACAACCAATTGTTTGCTTCAACCAGTTTTAGCTCTTCCAAGTAAAAGAAGTAAGCTGCCAAATACCACCTACTGTAGGAACTCAATCAAGACCCACAGACATGACCAAACACAGGAAGCAGGTACCAAGCTGTGCACTGGCAGCCAGTATGCTTCCTGTCAGGAGACAAAACAGCCCAGAAAGTGCTTGTGGAGCCAGCTGCCGCTTTCACAGACAAAAAACCACAACAGTAGTCTCAAACAACATAAAAAAGGTTGTTCAGTAACAGTGAAAGATGAGGTAAAATGTCGGCTCTTCTTTATTTGTGTTTGTGCAACAGAGTATTTTTCATCTGCATAAAACTTAATAGCAAAGGTTGTGATGGTTTCCATAAGGAGGTAAAACAGAAGTCAACTGTAAACTCTGACAGGAATCATTGAAAAAGTGAGTGATTTGACATGATCAGCAACCATCTGAAGAGCATTTGCAGAACTTTTAAGCTGGCTGTTGCTGTATCACTTAAATTTCTTCAACAAAAAAGCTTTAAAAATCAGTTTCTTAGCCCCAACACTGGGACTATACCACATGCAGCCAATAGTGTTGTAAAAGGAGGACATTTTATCATTTCTTTTCCCATATAATCCCTTGGTATGATTTCTTTTGCCTCACAGCCACCAAAAAACAGCACACAATGTGCTCTGGAAAGACCCATTCATACTTCTTTTACTCAGAACTTTTAGTCCATTCAGAAACCGGAGATAGCTTCACTCCATCCCTTTCCAGCTCAAAGTCTCTTCACTGAAAAGGAGAAAGCCACTTCACTTGTTCTGAAAATAGCAACAAGGAGGCTGAAATGTAACTGCTGCTTGATTACACCAGAGACTCTAAAATGAAGCAATATTACTACCATGTTTCTTTAAAAATTCATCAATGTAATTTTCAACCTATACCAACTTCCACCAACTACATAAAGGGCAATAAGCAATCTGTATCTTGTATCACATGTAGGATATCCAAGCAGATGAAAGTGCCTCATTTTCATCAGATTTTTTTCAATACCTTAATTCTCACCTCCTTTCTTCATTCATCCACCGAATACAATGCTCTAAGTCTTCTTAAAGATTCCACTGAGGATAAAACTCTCTTCCACCACCCAGAGAATCTGGTTTTTACTCATACCCTTACAATGATTTTTTTAAGCAGCTCAAACACTCACTTGCAACACTTGGTCAACTTACCACTGCCACAGCATCACTAGAGAGGACAGAGTGAGCATCCAGCACGGTATAGTAAGCTATATTGGTCATAATATAGATAATAGTCACAATTGGCATAGACACTGCAATAGCCAGAGGTAAATTCCTGGAAGACAAAAAAAAAACCAAAACTCCAAAACCCACAACTGCAGAGAAAGAAAAATTACATTAGTAACAGATTAAACTGACTTATTTGTATAATTTACAATACAGAGAAAAGTAATGAAGCCCGCATAAAGATTTCAAAAAAGGTATCTCTGGAATCAGAGTTTGTTTTCTTTTATAACTAGAAATTCTAACATAGAAGACTGGAAAAAACCCCAGATATTTATAGTAACTTAGAACCTCAATTATGTGTAAAAAGGGATTCTCTCCAGCTGCTCTTCAAACAGTCTAACTTCAAGGTTTCCACATCTGTAGTAACAAGCTTCAAACTTGCATTCTTTAAATGATTTCCTAATGTCCATGTTAATTACCACATTTAGAACCCAAAGAGGCAGAGCTCTGAGGTACTGCACTTCTTCTCCCTGGGGAATGGGGCTGTCCTTTCAGCACTTACTTCTGGAACTGATGCAGGGAGATTTATTAAAGCAAAGCCCTATTCTTCATATGTGCACTCATCACTGCAGAGAACAAACTAACTGTGCTGCACAGCAGAGATGCAAATCTAAAATTGCTGAACAGCTATGAGCCCCAGCATGTGGTGTATCCTACTAGCAAGAACAGGTCTAGAAAGCTATACAAAAACAAGTCAAGAGTAACAGGAAACTGCTAACCTTTAGATGTGAGCAGGTAAGAGTTAGCTGTGAGATAAACTCACAGCCCTGAGTGTGCAGCTCCACAGAAAAACATTTTTAATGTTAGGCTTTGGCTTTTCTCAGTCTCATTCTTCCCTCAAACCTCACAGGAATATTCAAACATTTCAAAAGAGGAAGCAGAATTGAGAGTGTTACTCTCACATTTGCCCAGTTTGAAATCAAACACAGCAGGGTGACATTGATGTGCATTTGCCATGAACATTGTTTTCAATAACAACAACAAAAAAAAACCTCCAAAAAACAAAAGCCCAAAGCATAAAAATTATCAGTCTGACTGAAACTTTGAAAGTTTCCTCAAAAACTTCCTGAGGCCCAGAAGTCCAGCTGTTTCTGTCTGCTGCCATGGAAGCAGAAAAACAAACATACCCCACATCCTCCATATAAATCAGTAAATTAGTAACTGGGAGTTCTGACTCTTCTTTCAGGGTGGACACTCATAGTAAGAGGCCCGTGAATCCCAGCACAGAGAAGAAAAATAATCAGAAAACTGTGAATTTAATTCAGAAATATTACACAATGTAACAAAAATCTGAAATAGCATTTTAAGGACTTTGCATCATCCAAGATTAACGCCAAAGGACAATGTCAAACATAAACTGTGGATCGCAACTTTTGGGTGGACAAGCATGAAGGCACTACCAATCAAGTGAACAGGAAAAATATGTAATTCTTGTAGCAATTTTGTAGAAGTCTGGAAATTATTCCCAAGAACTGTCAATGCAAAAAGCTGAAATTTGAAGTTCACTTTACCAGCTACCATTCTACCAAAATGAAGCTTGTATGAGGCACTGATGCCTATCTAGAGCAAATGATTATGAAGAAATTTGCATCAGCTAAATATCCTGTGAGAAAAATTGTTTTTCAAAACAATGCATCTAATAGAAGAGCTATCAAAGAATACTAACTTTAAAAAGGAAAGGCATTGCAACAATACTCAAAAAAGAAGCTTTTCAGCAGAAAAAACCCATGATTTGAAGGACCAAATGACTTATGAGAATACAATGTGTCTTCTGAATATATGTATCAAATCTTTGCAAGAGGATTTAAAGAAACAAACTGTCAATCTGGAATTCAATCTAACTAAAAATAGCTAGGTTTTCTTTAAAGTACTTATCCACTATTTTAATAGATAGCTTTCCTGGTTAGATAAATGCCCAGCATAAAACTCAACATCCAACATAGAAGGGAATAAACTTCAAAAGTCAAAATCAGTCAGGAGAACTAAAAAAACATCTCATTCTTCTTAATATTCAGCTATAGCAATCTGAGCTGTTGTTTATAACAGGATGCAAAAATTATCAAAGGGGATTCTATTCTAACATAAAAGTGTCTGCTTACAAACTCACAACTGGGTAAGATTAGCCAGTCATACTTTTAGAGCATAAATTAATGGAAAATATTAATATTCTTAAATATGAAATTAGAATGATTGCACAGGTAAACATTTAGGTACCACTGCAAGAATGACACATTATAATAAATTGTAACAACATCTTGAACTGAAAGCTTATCTAGCACTGAATACAGCATCCTGCAACCATCTACACTTAATTGTTCTTGTGTTTTAATTTCTTTTTCACTTTTAATGGAGTTTAGTAAATCTTTGCTGGTGGCCATCCACAGCCCTATCAGTAGAGCAGTTCTACTCATTTCTGCATAAACTCAGAATTTATTAGTGAATAACAACCATGAACCCAGCAACCTGGGAACCATCCACGTTTAGAAAGCTCAAATCATTTACCTTTCTGGGTTTTTGATTTCTTCTGTTACATAATTGAGTGTATCCCAACCAGAGTAAGAAAACAAGGCAGAATATAATGCAAGGGAGATTTCTCCAATATCAGTAGAGGATCCCTCAAAAGAGTTCTTAAAGTGCCATATGTGTCCTGTGTGGAAAAGATGCAATGAAGGACAGGATTAAATTTGGAACCGGATAGTCTATATAGACCCTGCAACGGTCCCAAAGTGTGCAGGCCCTCTCCTTTACTGGCTAGGAGAGGGGGATCGTCTTGGAGCCGGCGTAGCAGCTCGCCTTTGGGGAGATTTGGACTTGGACTTAGATTTTCCTCGTCCGTATGTGGTTCTTGTTGTAGTTTGAACCACTTTTCTTCTATATCTCGGTCTACCGCCTCTGCTACTTCCAGGTGTTCTTCGAGGTCCCTGAGACAACTCGTGAGATCCTGGTGCCACTCTAATGCTCCTAGTGATTGCTTCAATGGTTGGGGCATCTCTACCCCTATAATTAGGAGGAGTAAGTAACCAAGTTTTAAGTTTAGCGATGTACTCAGCGACCACCGCTTCACCCCAAGTGATAGCATTAATATGCCACCAAAGCAATTTAGAAGCATGAGAGATTTGTTCACTCTGTCTATCGTATAGTATATGCGAGATAGCAGAGAGTTGTCTAGGGAGAGAAATATTTGGTTCTTTAGATCTTATTCCTTCTATGATCCTTGTCCACATATCATCGTAATCAGTTTCAGGATCATACCAATCTGAAATCGTTTCAACTCTAAAAGCAGGTTCTCCCTGATGTAAGTCTCTTGATGCTAAATATAGGGCCCTTAAACAATTGGTAGTAGCCAAAAATCCCTTTATTAAATTTAGATATAGTTCCCCCCAAAGAACATGAACATTCTTCCTAGATTCCTCAGAATAAGGAGCTAGGACAATTGTAGCATGTTCAATAAGATCATTTAATGGGGGAAAGAAATCATCAGGTAAAGTATCAACAGCAGCAAGAGATTGTACAATTACAGGATCCATACAGAGAGTAACACAAGTTTCATTAGCATTCAAAAGTCTACAAGGTACAGCAATAAGCAACAGCAAGAACAACACGTAACAATACCTTGGTTGTGCTCCGCATGGAGGTACGAGTAATAAAATACAGTAAGCATTAAAATACAGTATTTTTCCATGTGCCACACAATTACAAAAACACCTCAGAAACCCTAATTCCTTCAAATCTGCTTATTAAGAACTTTTTTCCAATTCTACTCCATGTTTTAGCCACGAGAATAAGCATGGCATTTAAAACTACTATGAATTATTCTGTGTGTATGATACTGTTCTACAATTAAACACCTGGTTTGTTCACAGCAGCACAAGAAGTTCAGAAGCATTAAGTTCAGACTAAGCTATAAACAATTGGCAATGATAGTATTCAGGTTAAGTGTGGGGGTTTATAACATATATATTTAGAAAATAACCTACTCTATTCTTTTATATCTTTTGAAATTTTCAAACATTAAGCCTATGCAGAAAACAATGATTACAAGTGACTTAGATAACTATGACAAGAGAACCCCACACAAATACCCACAGAGATGTTTAAGGTTTTGCTACTAATAATAGAAAACTGAGAAAAATTAACAGACTATAAAGTATTCCTGTTAAGATAAAATTTTCCCAAGCTAAAAGTGTATGTGTGTTTTTTGGACCAGTATTTGTGAAAACTTGTGCCATCTTTTGACTGTAAGCAAGTCAAGACAAGTTCATCAATCACAGTTTAATATTCAGACTCTATACATATATAAACACACACAAAACCATCAAAACAGAAAGGCAAGTTATTGTGCAACTCCAAATCGTGCCCTATACTATGCATCCTGAAGTGTTTAGACTCCATTAAAACTGTAGTATTTGAAGCTTCTAAAATATTTTTACTTATGTCTCTTTTCTACTTTTTATCGCAATCAGACATTGCTACTCTCTTGGCACAAACACAGGTGGAGTAACTGCTGAGTTAGGAACAGAAAATGGAGACCATGTCAAGGAAATTAGATGTGAACAAGCTTGGTATCTATGAAACAAGGGATGGGCAGATGTGCTAAGGACTAAACCTGGTGCTCACATATGCATGTTCTTCATTGGTTCACAGTAATTATCTTGCTTATGAACTTTCAACAATAACCATTTAGAGCAAAGGACATAAATTGTCAGATTGCCAGGGAAAGATAACCCTTTATGGCAGCTTTGAAAGCAGGATAATTTTCTTAAGCTAACACACCAACAAATTCTTCCCAAAGGCAGGGCTAAGAATAAAGCTAAGTTCAGAATTTCTCTTAACTTGAAGGCACAATGCCCAACCCATACACTTTCTAATTCTCTTTAACAGAACCCATATTCTTAGCACATTTGTGTCTCAAGTTCAGGCACACTTTCAGGCTGCAGATTCATTTTGTAAAAAAAATAAACTGATCTCACTGCAAGTAGAGACGTTCTTTAGAGAAATTTGTAACTTTCACCACTCCCACTGTATTTTGCTGTCTCTGTGTATTGCTGTTTTCACTCCCTTTTTAATTCCGTACTGCAGGCTGTAAATAACACAACATTGCTGAGCAGTCAATTATCTTCTTTTGCCAAGTTCAAAGTCAACTGAGATATGATGGATATCTCATGAAGCAGTATCATGATAATGCCTAACAATGGTATTACTGGTATTTTCATGGTGGCTGTATCATACTTTTTTTACTGAGGCATTTCATAAAACACACAGAGGTAGTTTACAGTCCTTAGACCAGTCACTCAGTTTAATTGATAAGCACAAACCTTTGCTACAATTTTACAAGCTTACCCTGGCAGATTTGAACAAGTCCAGCGATGATGATGGCAATAAGAGCAGCGACTTTAGCGTAAGTAAATACATCCTGCACACGTGTGCCCCACTTAACATAGGCACAATTTATAAATGTTAAAAGACCTAGGGAAGGAAGAAAAAAGAAAAAATAAAACATTGTTTGAACAATGCTCAGTTTAACTCACTTTTCAAAGCTTTTAATTGTCATCTAAATATGCACTTACTTGTTATACTAATACTTAGGTTAAACTAAGCCAAATACACAGGTACTGAAAACACACTGGTTCCAACAAAACAGCAGGAAACAAATGTTTTAAACACTGTTTCAACAGACAGCAGGAAATACCTTCCTGTTCCCTGATTATGTGCTCATTTTCCAGATGTTACCCCTCATCAGCTGTACTCTGCAACTAACCTGAAACTAAAGAGACTGCTACATGAAATAATTCATTTCAATGTATCAATATTCTTCTAATAAATTAAACATTATCTAGAAATTCCCTTGCACAAACATATTAAAAGAGTGTTTGAAAAGGTTTCTTTATGCTTCATTGTTAGGTTGAGGATGAGATCAACATCCATGGAGTAGCTGCAATGCCAAGTATGGTTATAGGTGATTCAACACTCTTTCCAGTTCTACTGAACTGTATTATGAAGAGAGAACATATCAATTTTACAAGGGCATGTACTGAGAAGACAAGGGGTAATGGCTTTAACCAGAAAGAAGGTAGATTAGACTGGATTAGACTAGGTGTAATCAAGAAATTCTTCCATGTGAGGGCCATGAAGCACTGGCACAGGTTGCCCAGAGAGGCTGGGGGTGCCCCATTCCAGGAAGTGTCCAAGGCCAGGTTAGATAGGGCTTGGAGCAACCTGTGAGAGTGGGAGGTGTCCCTGCCCACAGCAGGGAGGTGGCACAAGATGATCCTCAAGTTCCCTTCCAACCTTAACCATTCTGTGGTTCTAAAGAGCATGTCCCTTACAGCTAATACTACAGTGGTCTGGATTTTTACAAACTGGTAGGAAGTAATGAGTATTCTGAATGCCTTTAGTCCTCTATCCCAAAATAAATTAGTCAGACCTATTTCACAAGATGGCAATGAAACTTGAAATGAGACTTTCGATCTCACAAATATTTTGTAGTTGCTGATGAAACTTACTCACATGATCAACTTCCCCAAGACAGTTCTCATGACTCTCAACATTTTGCTTATGCATTCATTACCTTTCTCTGAAGTGGAGAGCCAGACAACCTTTGCCTGAATTCAAGGCAAGAGCTGTATACTGAATAGGATTCAGTATCTTCAGTATTCTTTATTTAACAAAATTCTAATTTGGTACATATTTTTCTTAGCTAAATTATCACTACATAATTGAAACTTCTGAATTGGAAACAGTATTTCTCCCAAATCTCAGTTTTCTCTCTACCTAGTGAAAAAGTGTTTATATACTACTGTACTTTTTATCTCCATAGAATTTTCTAGTACTGCATATTTTAAATACGCAAATAAATAAAAACTAAACTTGAGTGTTTCAGGAATAAGGTAGCAGTAAATAAAAATTATATAAAAAGATGTGATATATTATTTCCTTTCCCATAATCCAAGAATATCATGATAGTATTGAAATAAAAATGACCTTAGCACAGCTACCAAATTGAAAACAGTAACTTTTAGAAGCTAACAAAAGAAAGGTAATGATCGGGTAAGTATGGCACTCTTATGTTACACAGTCTGGACAAGCTGCATGAGGCTCAACTGAGCATGGCAAGAAGAGGGGGAAAAAAAAACTCAGTCATATCAAATTTCAAAAGTCAGGACTGCTGCAGCTTCCAAAGAGCCTTTAGGAAAAAAAACCAACTCTGCTCAGACTCTGCGCTTCAGTATTAGTGACTGGAGTATTTGCTTACTGGATTTATTTCTGCTATATTTTTTAAATCAACTTTCATTGGGATTAATTATTATTAGTGAGTTAGGGCTTGGTCTCTTCTTCAGATGAAATGATACTCTGATACCTTATAAGGGAAAAAAAAAAAAAAGAAAAATTATCAATATTCTGAATAAGCCAAATCTCTCTTTGTTTTACTAAAAAGACTGTTTTCTTCAACTTAATTATTGTTTAGTTACTTAAAGTTTCTGAGAACTTTCAAGTTTAGTACTGTAGCACCAGGTGACACCCCACTGCCAAAATGATTGTCAAAGTAATGCTGCATAACACAAAGACTGTTCTCACACTAGCTCTAGTATTGCTATTACTAAAGTTAAAAAATCCCAACAAATGAAACTAAACCTCACAACAAACCCACCCAGTCTCATATACAATCTGTACCCAACCAATGTGCAGACTTCCACTCCCAGCAGCTTCATTATTAAAGGATTAATCATATCCAGAGCTAGGGATGTCACAAACAACATCAGCCGTGCCAAGACAGGGAGAAGTCTAAGCTTTAACAGCTAAATGAAGCTGTACAGCAGGGATGAGTCTTAGCACTGACACTCAGAGCAGGGCATAACAAGCATTTAAACCATAAAACAGACTGTTAACGTAAATTGTTCCACCTGCCTGAGAGCGATTCTGCTGTCATGTGTCTCCACTAAAAAAAGAGGTGCTAAATCCTCTTTACTAGCAGCATATGTAGAGGACATCACACTTTTTCTATACTTACTATATAATAATTTTAATTTAATCACTTTGTCTTAATTTATTGTTTTCTAACAAATTCCTTTTTATAAGGGCTAACTGTCCTCAGAGTGAGGGGATACCTTAAATGGAAGAGCAGATTCTCCTACAGTCTTGAATTTGTGCCAAGATACCTTGGGACAATACCTGTTTAAGGAATGTGAACATGACACTACAGGCCCTTCACTCATTTAGAAGAAGGAGGGAACAGAACTGATTAAACTGACAGATTTCCTGGAAGAAATTTGTGATTATTTTTCCCCTTATCTGGTCCTCAACCAGCATATTAATGCTTCCACAACAGTAGAAAATAACAAAAATGAAAGGGAAAACTGCAATCATAACCAGTTACAGAGGTCAAATATCCAAAGTACATGCTCTGTCCCTTTCCTTATCCTTTATAGACAACTTAATAAGGAACATTAGAGCTCTTCCAAAAGATGCCTCAAAAAGGAAACAACTAGAAGGAGTACGTGTCCTTGCAGCATATTGCTGGCAATAAAAGAGTCCAAAAGTTCTGTGTTAGTTTTTTGATATAAAATTGTCAATACAGGTGACAGGCTCCTGAGCACATGGCTATGGATCAGTACATCAAAAAGCATTGTCTACAGACTTGCTGAAATACAGTTTTCACTGTTTACTGGAAATGTAAAATATGCATATAAACACTTTTAATAGGAAACACCTAAAATTAAATAAGACACACACAGTTCAATCATACAGTTTCATTCTTTTGATACAGCAGAACTGTCCTAGTTTGAAGTGTGTGGGCAGCTGTTCCTCTATACTAACAGAGCTGGCTATATGAATACAAATACTCCAATTTTATGTACATGCAAAATTTCCACTTTTCAAAACAGCTTTACCACACATACTGCTGTATGGATCTTACAGTTAATTCCAAGCATAAAGTATCATCTTGAATGAATGATTTTTTGAAACCACAGTAGTAATGGAAACATGTAACCATTGAGAAATTATTGCGAACCAAATGACATCAGAATTTATGGCATAAGAGCCATCCTGCAATAGCTCTTCAGACCACACCAAGAGTATCCCAAGGTTTGATTTGAAATACCTCTCTCAAGGGAAAACAATTTTTACCCCCATTTTTGCCAGGTAAGTAAGCCTGGAAGAGTTCAACACCTTGTTCTGCTTCCAAATGAGAAAATGGTCGTTCACTGACTGAACGAACACCTGCAAGTTTCTCATGCTGGAATTGTTCTTTTCCCCATTATAACTCAAACCATTGCAGATCCAGTATGAACCAACTCTGAGTGTGGGTAAGATGTTTTAATAAAACATACCCTGGACAAAAACTTACCATAGTAAATTTCAATAAATACTTACATTCACAAGCAGCTGCTATGAGACGACAAGCCACATATGGAGGGTCACAAGAAGGGAAGAAAGGCTGAACTATGTAGTTAGCAAAGGTGATGGCAATGATTGCCTGACTGGTTGGTTCAACAATCAGGAGTGAGGTCCACAAACGAATAAAAGCAATGAAGCTCCCAAAAGACTCCAAGATATATGCATAGCTGGCTCCTGACTTTGTAATAGTGGTTCCAAGTTCAGCATAGCAGAGAGCTCCAAAGACTGAAAATATCCCTCCAACTGCCCAAATTATTAAAGACAATCCGTAAGATTTGCTGTAGATGAGAACGCCTTTGGGCGAGACAAAGATACCTGAACCAATCATGTTGCCTACTATAAGGCTTATCCCATTTATTAAAGATATTTCTTTCTTCAGTTGCAATGTATTTTGGTCTCCATCCTGTGTTCCACTTTGATCTGTCCTTTCTGATTTATTGACGGGACTGTACTCAGCCAGTGAAATTTGTGATTTTGTATAATCTGTCCTTTCTGCCATTGTGGAAAGACTGTGAATTCTCCACGACTCCAAATCACAATCTAAAACAAAATATAGACAGCTGAAATCATTATTTTATTTTTTTTATCCCAGGACTTTCTTGCAAAATCTTCTTTCCACTTTTTTACCCTATGATTTACAAATATAAATTAAGATATTTCCTTTTGTTGCTTCATGTTTGGTTCTTTTTACACAAAGTCAAATTCATGCACAGTTAAACAGCAGAACCAACCCAGACAAACCAAGAGACAAATTCCTATATAACTTAGAATGAAAGAGGAACTGCTACCATCAGGAAAACAGGCAAAACTGGAGGAAGGACAGAATTAAAGGACTCCTATCTTGAGAAGACCAGAAGAAAGACCAGAAAGAAGGACAGTGAGATGTTATAGGTAAGGAAGTACCATGAGACCAAGATGGAAGTTCTAGGCATGAACACAAAGGTACTGCAATACCAAAACTACCAATCCAAGTATTGTGCCTACACAGGTAATTCATGAGTGATCTAGTAACACGTTATCAGCTGCTGAGGGCCACAGGGGCAGAGGTGCTCACTCCACTGTGCCCTTGACCCAAGCCTTGACCTCTAACTGACACCGCAGCTCTTCACGCCCTCTGCAGAACTCTTTATCCTGACCCCACTGCCTCATCACTCAGTTATCTAGAAGTACAGACTGTACATAAAAGCTCACAGTAGTTTCAATCCAAATTCCAAATTAGCAGTTGTATTTAACAGTATCTAAGGACACAGAAATCAACTTTTTTCCTCTGCTTCAGAACTGACTGACTGGAAAAGAGCCCCCTTCTTCTGAAGTCTCCCGAAAATGCTCCCATGCCTTCCAAAAGCAAATTACTGCTAATAAAATCTCTCAGCTAAAAAAGACATTGCTCATTCTGAATAAGACCCATTAGACCCATTTTACACAAGTTTAAGATCACTAGCTTATTAATTGCATAAAAAAACCAGGCCCAGAATTACATATCTACCAGAATTATTTTCATAACTATTCATTTGCCCTGCCCCTGATTAAAACTTTAGTGTATACTTCAGCTAATTACTATAGAATAGAAAAAGAAGTGAAAATCTGGGTCAATTAGAATAAAGCAGATAATCTAGTGTGGGGTGGATTTTGTGCTTTTTTGGGGATAACACTAATTTTACAAATTAGTGGTTTTTTCTAACTGCAACAATAACCTTGTCAGCTGAGACAACAAAAAATCTGAATATGGGAATTTTGAAAGGTCAACATGCAGTCACCCAAACTACCTGTGCATCTAGTAACATATGAACATCCAGCTACCGTTTGAAAACATGCCATGTTCATTTTCAGCCCTTCTGGCAAAAGGACAAAACTACATAAATACGTTAAGAACTGATCACTAATGTAAAACACCGTTTTGGTGGTAACTACACAGCTTTAGGATTTCTTGCTCACATATCCTAATCATCATTTCCATTTCCTCCTGAACACTTCCAAAGCACAAATTCATCAGAAGCATACACATTACTTGGAATACTCAGGCATTTTGATCATTTAAGTCAGTTGAATAATTCAAATCCCATCAAACCTGGTGTGTTAATGCAGAGTCAGTTTTCCACGAAGAGTAACCATCATTGATTTACCTCATGGGAAACCAGAGGTGCATTTAATTACCTGCAACTAGAGGCTCAGTCACCTTTCAAATGCATCCACCTCAATTAGCAGCAAGTGACTGCAGTTTTATACAGCTTTGTTACCTATGACCTTGACTGTTTCTTGCCCTACTCTCTCCACCCAGGAAAGAACAATCACAGTGTCTCTGAACCTAGACTATTTTGTTCCCCAATCTCCTTCTTCCCCTCCTGCATCTGTTATTTCCAATTTTGGGAATCTGCCAACAACTAGGATTTGCCTGAAGGTGTGTACAACAGCTCAATGAAGATTTGATACTTCATTCTCTTACCTAGTCTTGTTTGTTTTATATACCTTTTAAAGCCTTCAGGGCAGGAATTGTTTGTTTGCCTGACTCAGGTGATACATTATACCACCTCGGACAAAATCAAAACTGTTGGCAGGTTTTTTCTCTCAAGCACTTCACTTAATCTTAAGTGGAATCAGAATCTGCAGCTTTGACCAACTGGAAAAAACTTACCAAGAAAGAGGGAAAGTAGAGACTAGAGAAAACTGAAGATATGTCAGAGAAAAAACACATATATCAAAATCCATTATTCTGTCCCAAGATCATTATTCCAGTGGAAACAGAAAAGAAGCTTGGAGGAGGAGAAACAGAGACAAATAGTATGCATATTCTAACACACAATAACCCTAATATACTGCAGCTAAAAATACTTTCAGAACAGTCTCTAACGCTGCCAAAGCCTGACCACAGGAGTGCTATGGCTAACACAGGGCTCTGCCTCCACATAAGCTAACCAACACGTGGATTTCCTCATCACTCACCCTTGTGCAACACAGTGTCTTCAACTCTTTTTTTTTGCTGATCACTGCAGCTGTGAGGAATCTTTTTGCTGATATGTGTAGATTTTTTTTTTTTACTGAAATGACTCCGCTGTTGCTATAGAATGCTATGATATGAAACCAGCACAGAGTGACCTGAAACTAGGGCCACCTCACTTTTTCACCAAGGATGTATCTTCTGGTGAGGCCTACCACACTGCAGCCAGGTACCAGCGGAGCTGATGCAGGTTAACATGTAATTAGCAGTGTACTAACACTGCATTAGAGCGTGGCCCTCCTTTAAGGGGAGGGAAAGAGGAACCATCTGGCAAGATCCCCTTTCTCCCACTGAGTAGAACACTCGTCACTTGTTTGACCTGGGATGAACCTGCAAGTGATTTAATGACCAAGGTGAAGTAGCAAACTGCTAAAAGCTTACTGTGTTTGCTGTGCTTTTATACAATACCTGCTCATTAGCAAAGATTTCTGGTGCTCTTGCTTCTGTCTTCCTTAGCTCTTGATTGCATAAAACAACTCTCATTGTAACACAGCTTTACATTGGCTGTTCACATATATCAGATGTCAGACTCCTATTTCTGAACACAATGACTGGCCCTATGAGCAATATTCAAGATTGTTCTATACAGGCAAACAGCATCAAAGTCTTCAGGGAGTTAAGCACCACCAGAGCAAATTTCTGGCTGTAAGTCCAGAAATGCTTATTCATTGCAATGTATATATTTAGGCACCGCATAGTCTGAACATTTACATGGGAAAGGCTTAGAGTTTGCCTAGGATATCCTTTTCTGGTGAGAGAAGAATCACTGCCCTACCATACATATGCTTAACAGAGAGGAAGCCTGTGCAACAAAAACAATTCCCACTGTAAAGATCTGTTCAATCAAGTATTTTGTGCTTGCATATACAAACACACCATCTTTAGCACAATAAAAAAGAAATCCTACCAACAAACTTTTGATCAAATAGAATTGGTTGTAACATCCATTTAAAAAAAACAAGATATGTTTTATCATGTGAAAAAGTATGAAAGAGATGTTACTATGACAGTTTTTTCACTTGATAGTTTATCAGTACGGTAGTAAGTAATATTTTTGTATTTTTCATTATTTTCATATTTCTAAGGACTAAAACATAAGTAAGCTCATAACAGGGACTTTGATCAGTCTTGATTTAGGCTGGGAGTGCATGAAGCTGCTGCAGTGAGTGGAACATCTGGTGAAATTTCTACAATAAGCCCCATGTAAAGACAGAAGGAACAACCGTAGAGTTTGTTAACGTAATTCACGTTATTTTTCATGCTGGGGCAGAAAAGTGGAAACCTCTACAAAGGAGGGGGGAATAACGCCTAAAGGCACGCACTACACCCATGTGTGCTCTTTAGGCGGCACTTACAACAGCAGCTGGTCAGATTGTAGTTAATACCCTCCATTTAAAAACTTATAAAACAACCAAAATCACTACTAAACGTCAGCAAGAGAAGGTGTGCTGGCCTGAGGGTCTCGCTCAGCCCACTCCAGCGCCCTGCCACATCCCGCTAACGGAGCGGTTCTGGTTATCAGCACCCACCACCAAAAGGCACACGTGGCTTCACAAAGCCACCCTCGAGTCGCCATAAGCGTGACCCCAGGGGTGCGGCCGCCGGCCTGAGGGGGTCACTGCTACTCTCGGAGGCCGCTCCGCTCCCCACAAGCGGTGCTGACCCTCTTTATCCTCATAAAACAAGTGAGGTTCACACAGCCCCGGGAAGGAAGTAGCTGCAGGCAGCCGCCTCAGACAGGGGCTGTCAGAGTCGGGGCGCCCTTTAAAGACAATACAGAAACACACACGGCATTTATCCAGCTACCACCGCACGCTTGCGGCAGCCTCGGTCGCCAAAGCCGCCGCCGCCCCTGATGCTCCGCAGACAGGCGCTGCCGCCGCAGCCCCTGCACTGAGGCCGCTCCCTGCCCGCCTTCCCTCAAGGTGAAGGGAGCTGAAGGAAAGCGGGGAAGGAAGCCGAAACCCCACCCGGGCCGCGCCGGCCGGAACCGCGTTACCTCCGCTCCCGCGGAGCTGTCTCCGGATGCTCCCCGCCCGTTGCCACCCGACACGCGATGGCGGCCCCTCAACCCCGCCCCCCCACACCGGCATCGCCGTCGCCGCCTTCCCGCCGCGCCGCCCCGGCACCGCCGCCTCCGTCACCGCCTCCGTCGCCTCCTCGCCCTTCCCCGGCAGAAATCCGCTACCTCCCGCGTGGTCGCCCCGAGGGAGAGGCCGGGAGGAGCCCACCAGCTCCGCGGGGGTTGCGCGGGACCCCCCGGCACCCTCTGGTGCGCCGGGAAGTGTTTGCCGGGCCGGAGCTCCCGCCTGCCCCGCGGAGCTCGCGTCGGCCCCTCCGCTACCGGTGGGTGAGGAGAGCCGGGATCGCCTCCCCCGCTGCAGCCGGAGCGGGGGACCAGCCACCCGCTTCCCCGCAGGGGCAGGATGCAGGAGAGCCCTAGCGCTGACGGTACGGCACGGCGCCTTTGGCAGCCCGGGCCGGGGGCCCTGCCCTCGCCCCGCGCTCCCTGAGGGCCTCGGGCACACGGAGCTCTCGTGGAGCCCCGGCGGACGCTGCACAAAGTTACATCCACATGAGTTACACCCGCATGGGTTACACCTCCTGAAAGACCCTCACGCTTGAGACTGAGGGGCCTGAGAGGGTGGAAACCCTAAAATCTGGTGGTATTTTGCGTTTCTACTGCACAGGTCCTAAGCGCCATTCATAGTGGACATGCAAATGAAAATAGAACGGTACCATTGGTGTGTTCCAGCCTCCAAGAGGGGCATAGCTACACCCAAAATTTGGTTTTGTTAAAATAGTAATAGACTTGCTAGAATCATGATTAAAAGTGACCCATGGTGCCTGATTATAATAGTAAGGAATTGACCGTTCAGCAGATTTATCTGGGGTGTAATGAAAGCTTTCTTGTCTTCCACTAGCAGATTAATAGTTTTACCCAGTCTAAGCCAGTGAACCCCAGGCCACAGCCCATCTTAATGTTCTTTTGTTACCTTTTTGCTGCTCCCTGTAAGGCAAAGGGATGGTTCAGTGCCTGGAAGGACAACAGGGTTCAGGAGACAGGGTAATCTCACTCTAAATAATTTAATTACTCCTCCCTGCCCTGGTCCACGGTTATTATCTACCATCTGACAGATAAGTAAGATGTGAAGTTTTTCAAGAGGGTAAAAATCTTAAGGGCAAATAAAAATGATAAGGCTGTAAAAGAAGAGCGAAAGGGAAACTATGCACTGTAATACCCATAAATGCACTAGTAAATGCAATAGTGGAGTCCAATTTTATTGCCACAAGGATTACATTTCTGATTTCCATTCCGCTTCCTCTCTCAAAGTTTGTGTGTTTTATCAAGGAGTTGTTTTCCTTTGTTGTCACAGAGACAATCAGGCTACCAAGCAACTGCTGCACTCATCTATATCTCCAGATATTCATTACACTGTTTGGATAAAAATTAATTAAGAAGTTTTTTTTTTTTTTTTGTTTTGTTTTTTTTTGTTAAAAGTTGGCAAAAAAAGTGCACACAACAATAATAACATTAGACTTTATTTCTAAACTATAAAGCACAATAGCAAAACAAACGCTCATTTGCAGGAACCTGATCATCTCAGCTCTTTAATTATGTTTGTCTCAACTCTCTGTTTGGCTTTTGTCAAATACAAACTATTCTAAATCTATTACCTGCTGAAGCTACTGACAGTGTTGCAAAGCAGCAAACAAAACCAGTCTGCTGCCTTCTGGGAGCTTAACAGCCCTGATAGGCAACTTTGTTTTTAAGCCACTTATACAGCACTGACAGAAGATAAAAACATTGATGACATCCCCAGAATAGAATCACATCCTTACAGTATGAAACTATTGTTGTTACAAAGATAATATGAACCAGAAAGCAGACATTAGATGATAATAGCACTTAGTGATTCTACAAATGTGCTGGTGCCCTTTGTTCTGCAGTGCAGGATTTTCAGGTAGATGGGTGTTTGCAACAGTTGTCTCACACCTTAATCAAAAGGTGGATTGAGTGTGAATGCAAAAGATGCAGCTGATTTCAGTTGTTGCTAGACTGCATTTTAAGCTCTCCCATGATTGAATCTACTGTAGACAGCATTCACTCCTCAAAAGAAAATGGACTCATAAAATGTGAGCTAATTATAAAATTGCCTTTAGAAACAAGAAATAGATGGGAACTGACAAGGCATAGGAAACAAATTATTAGGCATAGTATGGAAGTATAGAGAATGACATTTTACCTTAGAACTTTGAAAAATATTTTTTAGAAAAAGTGCCCATTTGAGGGTTTCAAAATAGAAGTTCACCACCTGGATTATGAGAATTTAAAACACTGTAGAGATTGGTATGAGAGATCCCAGTTAGGACAGCATCATAAGGCTAGACAATGCTTTTGAAATGTTTGCATGTGAGCAGAAGCAAATCTCAGAACAAACACCCATGTAGATATTTTTGTTCTTTTGGTAAGGCTCATATTTTATAAATTACTTTTTCCATTTTACTATGGAAGCAAAGTGTAAGTCTGGACTCTTCTTCTTATTTCTTCTCTTGTTACAGATTACATAAATTGTGTGGCTCTTCCCTGATGCTCCATAAATGGCCACTGGTAAGTTATATTTATACAGGAGTGTGTATTCTCTAAGCGCTAGCAGACAAAAAACAGCTAAAAAAGATTTTGTGTCCACTGGGGTTTTATCTGATACTAATTTAATCAAGTTAAGATCTTATCTCCTTCAGCTAATGGGAACGAAGTCAGACTGAGTTTTGGTTAAGTCTGTGGGTTTTGCCCTATCTGCTTTTTTGTATCTGACTAATATTGCCACTAGATACATCTTAGAAAATGTAATTCAACTCAAAAAGCTTGAAGAATAACCCAATTAAATACGCCTGAACCAACCAAATAGAAATAGCACCAGATGATGGAAAACCAAATCCACACTATATTCATTAAATGGTTTTAGAACATGAAACAAAGCCAAGGTAAAAATTGCTATTAAATCTAAGTGAGTTTGGAACCTTATACATCAGCTTTGTACTTGTTCACAAGTTCATTCTGGTGAGTTTAAGCATATCCTCACAGCATAAGTCCCCCAAGAATGTGTTGCTCATGCACTTAATTAATGGAAGAATGAGCGTGCACTGAGCTCCTTAAGGGTCAGCACTGAAGGGGTGCTGTGTAAATGTAAGCAGTACTCACTGGTGCTTGGAGCTTATGATGGAAATATTGCTTCCAGCCATGTGTTTGATGGTTTATACAGGTTCCTTTTGAAATTCTACCATACAGAGTGAGTCCTGGGACCATTTTGATGTTCTTTTTGAAATGTACATTCTGTGGACACAGGAGTTATTCACAGGGGTCATGAAATTATTCAGAACAGTAAATCTAGGAGTTTAGCCAGATGCCAGCAAATGACAATTTTTTTATAAGTACTTAAAAGCAGACATTATTTTTTGTTAGTTTTTCAACCTTAATAATTTCTGACAACAAACACAGTATCTACCACGTATTTCAGAATCAGTTCAAATTTATTGAAATTTGAACAGAAATCAGAAACAGAATCAGTTGAAAAATAAATGCAAGTGAACCTGTTTCTTCTCTTTGGCTAAAGCTGAGTGACTTTGTTTATAAAAACAAATTCACTGATCCTTTTCTTTTTACCTTCATCTCTCTATCACAAAAATTTCTGCAGTAGGTGGTTTAAGCAGGGTGTGACTTACAGATGAGAGTGATTATAAGCACCAAAATGCTATGCAATTGGAGGAAAAGGTCTAAATTTAGGCTTCTATATTTACCTTCCCCTGGTCCTAGCTGCATGTCTCCTCCTACTCCAGTGGCCTTCAGCATTTGACTGGTGCTGGCACTTGCCCAGCCCCCTCTGTAAGGCAATTCTGCTCACTAACCTGGCAGAAAACAATACTTTTATGAAGGCTGGATTTTTACTATCAAAATAACAGAAGTACAAACATGGAGTAAGCTAGGAGCAGAGGAGGAGGTAGTAGAAAATATCCCATTAAGGAACAGAAACTGTGGGATGTTTCTGTCTTGTCCAACTGCAGTTATCTAATACTCTGGAGATTAACATTAGTCCTTCTTTTATGGAAAACGTAGCTTCTCTATATTGATGGGGTTTTTTTTAAAACAGATTATAAAATAAGCTTTGATATCTCATCTTTTAATTTTATTTGTCCTGTCTGATTCTGTTGCCTTTCAGGTGCCTTTTTCTTTTCACTGCCTTATCTACTCTCACCAAAATTTATTATTTGCTTACACATATCTTTGTTGCACATTATTGCAAGCTGGTTTTGTTCAGTGCTGTCCGTGCTGCAATGCAGAATTGGGAATAGATATCTTCTAAAACATGTACCAGTTTTCAAATATTAACTTTGCTAGGAGGGCAAAAAAACACCAGCAAAAAAAAAAAAAGCAAAAAAGTTTACCTCCATCTTCAGGTAAACTTTAAAGGTCTCTAGGACTTTTTTTTCTCACTATATTGATTAATGTCACAAACTTTGTATTTTAATTTTACATTTATCTTGCTCATGTAATCTTCTCTATTAAAAGAGGAATATGCAGTACATAAAGTTTTTCCCAGTCAATTTTGGGAGTTTATCTGGAAAAAATAGTCCTTTGTACATATACTTGTTTTAAAACAGATGGTTTGACTTAATGTTTTAGACAACTAAATCATTCAGCTTTGAGACCCTACCCTTTATTATACAAATTGTCTTATCTGTGTTGAATTACTTCATGAGCATCTGGCTATTTATTAATGAGAGTGAATGAATCACAGTCTTTGTTTTCCTGGAAAACAACATGGGAGTTAGAAGCATTGTTTCACAAGTCCTATAACACTGCAGGGATTTTTAAAGATAATGCTCTTTGTCCATGTCTAATTTGAAGGCTATTAAAAGTGATTATGTATAAAAACAAACTAAGGAGGATTTTTAGCTGTAAAAAATAGCATCTTAAGGATAAGTATTTTTTTTCTTGTTTCAGGTCCCAAATTAGCATGTGGGTACTATGATTGAAGAATATGAAGTCCTTAGTTATAATGTTTGTAACCAAGTTCAACAGCATTTAAATAAATTTCTTCTGGACGAGACAGTTTAAAGACATCTGTTAGGTTGGGTTGTTCTTTTATCTTAACTCTGGCCTTCTAATACAACTGCTCAGACTTTCTTCAAAACAGTAAAGTTCCTCTCTGTTATAGATTCCTGTATTATTGTCAGTCCTTTGTTGATATACTTGTGGTCACCTGTCTTTCTCTCTCTCTGATTAAAAGCAGGAGTATTCTGAGATTCTGATTCTACTCACACTAGTTGCATTGACACTCTGTTTGCAAGCAGCTGGTTACTAGAGGCTGAAGCCAATGTCATCATTTTGTTTGTATTATCAAGCTGAGTCCAAACTCTGCCATTTAAATACAACCAGATGT